GTAATGACAATGATGAGCACACTGATGACAAGGCTTATAAACACATGTCTGCCTACATACATACATATATACTTAAATACATATGCACTTATTTACAAACATATATCTCTCTACATATACACACTATACTTGTATATTGAAAGCGTTTCAATGAAGTTGAGATTAAATTGCGATAAAGAAAGTAATTCTACTTTTTACATCGGCATATGTTCTACAGAAGCTTGACTTTATTTAGCTAAACATTTTTCTCCAGATTTGGGTATGTGTTAAACCTATTTAGATATGATTTGAAATAGCTTAGATTCTCTAAAAGCCGTACTTGAGTTTTGAATGATTGTCTTGATTGTGCTTGCTTGACTCTGCTTGGCAGAAAGATAAGTCAAAGTTTTATAATATAGAACAAATATTTAAGAAGAACCCCTGCAATAATGATTTGAAAATCTCCTCAAATAGAAAATAAAACTTATACACGTATATTAAGCTTCCCAGTTCTTCAGATGACGAACACAATTTAAGAACGAAACCATTTTTTAGCAAGATCAGCAGTTAGTATGCATAGAAAGTATGCGGACTTATGCTTTTCGAATAAGTTTCCATACAAAAGAAATGAAATCAGAGCAAAGCTTTCAAGTGTCAACTGCTGTAGGAATTGTATAACCCAATCCGATTGGTACTTTATGTAAAAACAACAAAAACTATGCTGCATAGCACAGGCAATTAACATATTACGCATACGCAACGTGTTACACATTCAAATGGGGCACGTCGCGCTATTTGATTTGGTGGAGAGGGGCGGGCAATTAAGTCACAAATACACACAGCCAGCACGAGCCTCCGACTGTCATTCCAAACTCCACTTGCAACACAAGACGCAAACTATTTGAAAATAATGGCAAAAAAAAAGCAAACTGAAGAAAACAAAATTAATAAATGAAAAGAAAGACATGCTGCCGTTTGGCAAAGATGGCAGACGAAATAATGAGTGCATATTTATAATCGCTTTTGCCACGCTTAATTATAATTAAAGTATTATGCGGCCAACGCTGCTCTGGTGCTCGCGTTGTTAGTTTTCTCATTTAAAAAAATCTTTTTTTTTATCGTTTTTGTCTCAGCGCGCAAAGACAAAGCGCCAGCATAGAAAATAAAACACACACACACACACAAACAAAAAGCCAAAAATTTTCAAATAATCAGTTGCAATTTCACTTCAATTTTAACGAGTTGAGAAGAGTGTCGGATATTTATGTGACTGGTCGGTTGTTCGGTCGGTTGGTAGGTCGTCTCTGTCACAATTGAGACTCGCAGGCACAGCAATTGTCGCCCGTTAAGCTGGCAAAGTTTTCCCACAGACTCGAAAATGCTTAGCCATTTTTCGTTATTCGAAGAACTTGCATAACTCTAGCCATAAAACGAAAAAGGTAAATAAATAAATAAATAGCAGTGCTGCTAAAGTCAAAAATTACGAGTAGACCGGCCGGTCAAAGGGAAATAAAATAAAGTTTATGAAAAAAAAAACAACATGCAAACAAACAACAAATACGAAAACGTAACTTAATTGGCGACACTTAAGCCATCAGATGTCTTAATTACCCGATCGTCCAACCCGTACGCACTCTTACGCACACACACACACAAACAAATTTTATACACCTGACCAAAAGCCACTGCCGTTCGCATTTGACCCTCAAAAGTAATGAAAACCCCGAAAGCAAACAAAAACTGAAAAAAAGTCAAGTGAAATAAAATAGCCGGAGACCAACAACAACAAAAAGAAAACAAGAAATACCATAGAAAAAAAGAGTTCAATCCAAAGAAAACGCTTAGAAAAAAGTGCTGCCAACAACAACTTTTACTTTTGTTTTAATTTGAATTTTCAACACCCAAGTTCAAGCAGCAGCCGCACCAGCAGTGCTTGCCGCGTTGGCGGCCGGCAGCCTCAAGCGCCGCACAGTGGCTAGAAAACCATTGGATGGCAACAAAAAACGAGAAGCGCTACCCAAGCATTTTCCTATAAGATGCGACTAAAGTATACTTGTATGTATGTATGTAGAGAGTTTTTCTATCTGTGCTGTGGGACAACATAATACTTACAGACAAAGAGCTTACTGAGCTTACTCTTTCTCCTGAAGACAACGAACAGTACAAGGCTTCTGGGACTGAATTATGATATTGCAGACATTGGCCTAATATTGTAGAATTTTGGGTGCATTTAGAAAAACCCCGTTACTCACCAAGGCTAGCATTTATTCAAAACAAATTGGTAATCGTGGCTGTTTTTGGCACACTTTCTTCTAAGTGGGAAATCATTTTAAGTCAATGCTGTTTAATTATATAAATACAAGAATAAAAGAAGAATACAAAAACGTGCATTATTTACAATTAATTTAAGTCTAAAAATGTAAGAATTTTTCTTCCAGCAGCACCAGAACAGAGACTTCTCAGAGTCTGGCTAGCTGTTCAATATCCTCTCTTGAATTAAAAATATGTCGTAGGCTTTTAAGAAGACACTGTGAGACGCGCACTGAGTGCTAAGCCAAAGTAATATGCCTATATACACGTATCTAAATGTATGTTGTAATGTGTGTAAATATGATTTGATCGAAATTGGAATTCTGCTGAACAGGGCGGGGTTCTTGATGGAATATAGAGACTAAGATGATTCTAGATAGATTACGTTGATTATCTCTAATTCTTCGCCTTCAACTATATGGTAAGTCTTCCAGTTTGGTCAACTAGGGAGCCACTGTGCACCATTAGAAGTCAAGACTGCAACTTTGTTGATATTTTGCGCATGTGCGCGCAAAATTAAAGCAAAACTTGTGCGCAGAAACGACGGACCGGTTCCGAAATGGAGAAAAAGGAGAAGAAACTGATTTTTTTTTTTCCAACCAAAGTCACGTTGTCACTTGTCTTGGAAACTCCCGCAGGTCGTCCAATGTCGCAAGTAGTAGCGGCAATTACGTGTTGGGACCGCAACTGCCTCCGCCTCCGTCTCCGTCTCCGCCCCAATCCCCTCTCGCTCCAACCCAACAGTGGCCGCGACCGCTGCGGCTGTGCGCGTGTGAAAAGCGCATAATTTTTGGACGCGGACAAATTTTCACTTTTTTCTTCAGTGCCTGCTGCTACCAGTGCTCTTCTTCTTGCTGCTGCTGCTGTTGTTGTTGTTGTTGTTGTTGTAGTTGTTGCTGCTGGTGACGCTCAGTGTCGTCCGCCGGCGTAGTTATTTTAATTTTATTTTGTTGCTGTTGTTGTTGTTGTTGTTGTTGCTGGTTGCCTTTGTTATTGTTTCAACCGGCTGGGACGCGGTCACATCGCCAGCAATTGCTGTGCCTTGGGCGCTTAGCGAGTTAGTTAGTTGCTTTAGGTGACTGGAGCGCTGCGAGGAGGCATCGTCGACAATGGAGATTACAACAACAACAACAACAGTAATAAAAAACCCACAATGAACCGATTATGTTACCAATCTTGGGAATTGTTATTATTATTATTTTTATTATTATTATGTGCCATGCCTCGCGATGTCTTTTTCTTTTTTCGCATTTTGCATTTCGCATTTTGCCGCTCTTCTCTTCCATTTCATTTGGGCTTTTTAAATCAAAATCTAATGTGTGGGAGCCTCTTTAAGTGCCGCCACAGCAATGCGCATCCCCCCTCCTTCCCCCAGGGGTGCTCGCCCACCTACCCACTAGTATAGCTCAGGCATACGACACACGATTTTCGCCTCCTATATCATTGTCAGCTCATTGTGATTGCGACGGCCAATTATTTGACTCTCTCTCTCTCTCTCCCAATTCTCCCCGTCTTTGTCTTTATAGTAGTACTACCTATTATCTGCAGCTGGATTTGGTTTTAGAGTGCATCGCGTGCGTGTGGACTTTTGTGGCTTGTCAGGCATGTATGGTCTCGTGATACCAGCTACTGTGCGGAATATTGCTTGAATAGTACACCTATATGAGTATCTACAGATTTATGATCGAAATAAAAGTGAAACATTTTATTTCATCCAGGAACAAGTATTACTGTTCGGTCATTAAAGCAGCTTACAGATCAAGCAATCCCTGCAATGCTCTTCCAACTCCTGCTTTCGATCAGTGTTCTGCAATGCAAAATATTGCCAATACTATATATGTAAACACGAAATGATCGATCAGTACGAAATATTTATTAGAAAACTTAGCATTTCTTGATATCAATTCTGGTGATTGCTACCATCGTTGGCTATAATCTTTGTATAAACAAACGACCTATATCAAGAGATATTGATCACAGAATCATTACAAAGAAACGCTCACCAAATAACTCATCGATAACCAAAAATCGTACAAGAACAAGATAACAAGAATCGTAGTAAGAACATATTCAACTACTTGCGTTGTAATTTAAATATATTACGGCTGTTGATCAGACAGCAATTATCCCGCCAGCTCTCTTCAGTTTAAATTGCAGAAAAGCCTAAGGATCTTAGCACTAAATAATGATTAGCTATGGAAGGGGAATATTATTGAGTTCCTTCGCACAACTTATTCCCGTTGATCCATTACGATTTAATCTTATAATCCTCGCTAGCTAACATACTACACATTCCATTTTCCCCATCTTTGCTGGCGTCCCTTAACCAATCAACCTTATAACCGTGGGATATGCTTATGCCAAGCCCGTTTGCAAAGTCAACAACGAATCAATATGTAATTGATCCCACGATTATTATACCACAATGGTTCAGTAAAAGCTTTGCACCCTTGTCATGCTGCACGCGTCTTCCGGGAGTCCCCCTTAGCATCCCTATGTCTATCCCCATTCCATCCGATTATGCAAAGCCAGCCAGCCATTACAACGTACTTTACAGCTGCCAGCGAATGGCGCCTACTGTTGATCGATTGTTGACTGATCGCTCGCCCGCTCGCTCGCTCGATCGATATGCCCTCGCCTGGCCTGGCCTGGCCTGGCCTAGCCTGGGCTATTAACTTGGATTGCCAATGCGTCGCATTAATTTGTTTATAATGAACGAATGCACGCCGAGTGCGGGATTACGCGAAAAATTAAAGAAAAACTTGTTAATTACCAGCGTGCTGTCACAATTGCCTCCGTTCCTCGTCAGCGCTGGTTCCGCATTGCGCTCAAATGATGAGACAGTCAGTGAGCAACATATTTCTGGCCAATTGCATGGCACAAATTACGCAAATGCTGTTACTGCTGATGTCTCTGCTGTCTCTGCTTGTTGTTGGGCAATGCGCAATAGCCAGGAAAGAGCCTCGGGCAGAGGCAGCAAGTGGCCAGCAGCCAGCAGCCAACAGTCAAAACAAGCGCAACTAATCAAATCAACAGGGTTCATAAATTTTTGCCTGACTGTTTTGACACAAGGCCGGTCGTCAGACAATCGCACTTACAACTCACCACTTGCCACAAATGCTGCAGCTTCAAGTTTGGAGGTCGAGTTGCCGCAATAGGAAATATTACATATGAGATGATGCAACCCATTAGCTTTCATCAGTGCAGCACCAATATCCTCAATATCCTCTCCAGCCTCTCTGACCATCTCTGCTCATTCCCATCAACCAGAAAAAACAATTAACGAGGCTAGAGCTAAATTATGAAAGCTATGAGCTGAGCTGAAAGTGTTGCACAAATCTTCAGTTTGCCAATATAATTGAAATAATGATAAACATAAAACATAAACACTTTGTTTTATAAGAACGTCTAGTCTGTGCCGTAGAAGTTCTGCAGTCTTAACAGACCTTCCTTTTTCCTTTTTCTTGAATCACCTTTTTCTGACTAGTGTATCCTTGCAATGTAAAGGACTAAGTATTTCAAGCTATGAGCTGAGCTGAAAGTGTTGTGTTGTGTTGTGTTCAGCTTGCCAATATAATTGAAATAATGATAAACATAAAACATTAACACTTTGTTTTATAAGAACGTCTAGTCTGTGCCGTAGACGTTCTGCAGTCTTAACAGACGGTTCATTTTTTTTGAATCACCTTTTTTAAAGAACTAAGTATTTCAATTACTATTCCATTTTCAGTTTTAACACAAGCAAGCTGAGCTATTCAGTTTCTTAAGAGTAGTTTAACTCGAACCTGCCTATCACATAGATCGAATTGGAGGTTCTACACCGCCATGGATTATTGGTTTAAGCACTCTTTTTTATGGCATTTTGAATGGGCTGGGTCTGTAGGAAAAGACGCAAGTATCACTATTTTTATGGCACACTCAGAGCTACTACACTGCCCCACATTTGCGCACAACTGATTCTGTTTATTCTCCCAAGGCTCTTAAGAGCTGCTCAAGTGCTGTTTGTGCAATCTTTGTGTACGGGTGTGTGGAGCGGGGGAGCAGATGTGGATGTGACTTGAAACTCAAATGCTTTTATTGCATTTGCTCAATTACAGCAACAACAATTTGTTTTTACATATCCGCTAAAGAGCCTGGCCTCCCAACACGGAAGCCACTGCAAATGAGCAGAAGTCGCACACAGTTGGGCCTCTAAATGACGAACCTAGATTTGTGCCTCGTCTTGCTTACAGTTTCCTCAACCTCATAACATCCTGTCCCTCCATGGATATTCGTTGCTTTCAAAAAACATTTCAAAAAAACTGGAGTCAGCGACTTTGGTTCAGAAACCTAATTAATTTTAATGAGTTTTTAGTTCGTTTGTATACGTATCATCATTGTGGCAATAAAATGCAATTGTCTCTCATTTTTTGCGACGATTTTGCGCCAACTTTTTTTTATAACAATATTTACATTACGAAGACATCAAGTATTTGAATAATTAATTTCTGTGAAGCAAATGCGGGCACATACTGTGAAATATTGCAAATGAAGTTGTACATGCTGTTGTTGTTGTTGTTGTTTGGAAAACCTACTGCCTTTTTTTCACACTTGTGACAGTTTTCCTTTTTGTTTTTCTTCATTTTCATGGTGCGCCTCTTTTCATTTTTATCGACAATTTCACTTTTTGAAGCGACGAGACGTCGTCTTTGGCGTCGGCGCGTTGATGACTTTGCGGCATTTTTATGGCTAAGACATCAGTCTCAGACCCATACCCATACCCAGACCCAGACCCAGGCTCAGCCCAACTCTCGGTCTCAGTCTCGATCTCAGTCTAGGTCTGAGGAAGGGAAGGCAGTACGGTCATGCATATGCATATTCATATGCATACGTGTGTGGTTGTTGCTTATTGTTGTACGAGGCACAGAAGAGCACACTCGTACATACATACTTGTATAATAAGGTCGAGTTGGCAACAATTGCGGTTGCTGGGCAAATGCTAAAATAATTCCCAGCGCATTGTACGATCGCGTGCACTTTGGTCATGGGTAGCTAAAGCTAAAGCTATATGGGTGTGGGTGTGGGGGTGGGGGTGTGTGTTCGCGATTCATTTGTCAAAACTTATGGCTCACCGCATTTTCAAGTGCAAAGCCAAGGTTGTACACTCAAAAAAAAAAAAAAAAAAAAAACAATCCCCTTTTTTAAGGCAAGCCATAGACAGATTCTGCAAATGACAAATATCATTTTTAGATCAGATTCGTGGGTCAGTAATGCAACATCTAAATCATTTTTAACGACATACATATCTCCAGCTACCCTTAAGGAGTAATCCCCTTTTTTATTTCTTCAAGCTGCTATTTAAATTTGTATGAAGCGAAGTCTGAATCTGTTAAATATTCAAGGATACAATTTGGACCATAAGCTAGAATATACTTGTACTTAGAAATCGTGTTCAACTTCTAGTTTTTTCAAACTCCCAAAAATTAACATACCTTTCGCCTTTAAAAAGTTTCTCTTTGACGAACGTGACAGGCTTACCATGTTAGATCACTTATTCATAAAGCCATATCATAGAAATTGTATAATTTAAAAATCTTTTTTGTATCAAAAGTTTGTTTATTTTTAAAGATGTGGAAATGATGTAAAAATATAGAAAAGAGTTGGGTATATCGCTCAGCTCAGCAAACAAGTTTTGTGTAGAGACACAGTCAACAGCTTTGGCTAAAACATTATTAGCATTATTAGTCCTTCCAATGATTTTCACAAATAATTCTTTGTTTTCACAACTCTCGAAACGAAACAATTCCGCGGCCCATGCCCACGGAATTAGCTAATCTAATGGAGACAAAATGTTCTCGAGCCCTATCTACTTTTTCAAGCCATTCATAAACCGTTATATGACTTTTAAGAATACGCGAAATGAAATGAAATGAAATAGGCGTATTTTAAAGTGCACGATCTCTCAAATACGTACAAATAAGAGTAAAATGTCGCCCCCGCCCGATCGCTTACGAATCGCAAAAGTCGACCAGCGAGCAATGTAGCTGCTGCTGCTTTTATTATTGACACGAAACGAGTTTTCCACAGAGCTCTGCAATTTTCCCAGGCAAACCGGCAGCAGGCCGGCCAACAAGGCAAACAAGGCAAGAAGGCAAGAAGGCTGGCTCATCCATCAGATGGCGCGTGGGGGCCACGCAAAAGAGCAGAGCGAACCAAATCCAGTTAAGACGACCAGCCTGCCTGGCGCTCGACAACAGTTGGCAGTTGTTGTTGTAGTTGTTGCTGTTGCTGCTGCAGAATTTCACTTTCTTTCGAAATTTCGACCCCATTTACTACGAGCCAGTACGACAACATCAATAGCCACAACAACAGCCAGCTTATACACCCCCAATGATTGAAGGTGAAGCTTGAGGCTCGAGCTTGGCTTTTGATATGGCAGCGGCTTCTTTAATTGAATTACGCGTTCAGTTTGCTGGATACGTGTGGGTGCAGCATATATACAGACTTATGCCCCATATGGAGGACCGTCTAAAACAAAAAAAACAACAAAAAAGTGTAATAATTATGAGAAAACCATGACAGCTTCGCCACCAACACCACCAACAACACCAACCACCAAATGGCACTTTGAACTTGCACTGCATTGTTTGTTGTTTAGTGTTTGTTGTTCGTTGTTCGTTGTCTGTCTTCTCTCTTCTGCCCTTTTTGATCTTCTTTTTTTGTTTTGGCTATCCAAATTGTTTGCACTCACGCCCGTATTGATTGCATTAATGAGAGCTCGTTTTCACATAATTAGCGTCGGCGGAAAAGTCGCATACTTTGTTGGCTTGGATTTTCTGATGAGGCGCCGCTGGAACTGTCTATAGCGTGGCAAGCGGTTTGTCTAAAACGCCTTCTGAATAGAGATACGAGCCAGAAGAGTTGCACATTTATTTCTAAACAAAAACTTAATGCTTTGTGAGCAATGCTAATGAAATGCTATGGAAATGCATTTTATTTGGGCAGCTAAATGAGAACTTTTCCTAATTATTTCGAAACAAAAGCGAACTTCATCCGGTTGTTGTCCCCTCAAGCTTTGTTATTTTTGAAAATTACCATTTATCAGATTATTTTTCACCAAATTTCCATCAAACAGGCTTCTTCTTAAAACCAAACACAAAGAAAATTCAGCATCGGAATAGCATTGATTTAAGCTGCTTCTTTATGACAAAAACAATTGGAATATAGGATAATCAGAAAGAATATTTATAGGCTTTTTTATTCCTTTAGTTTTATTTAGTTTAAGTTCTCCATTGTATTGATTTTCTTATTCTTTTTTCTTTTACATCGAGTACATTGTTTGTCGATGAAATAAATAAATAAACATAAAGCAGCATTGTTGTTTCCTTACGATTTCCATGTGCGATTTTTTGCATCAACTGCATATAGTCGCCTAGCTGGAGAGAACTTAAACAGCAAACTAGAGGAATTACTACCCATGAGCTTTCTCCACAAAATAAAAAAACAATGTTAAGTAATATGGCAATTGTAGTCCAATAACATAAAGTATTTGTAGGCGGTTAACATATATTTTTTGCCACCATAGAAGTGGCCTTTAATACCAGCTTTGTAATAATTCCTATAATATGAGAAACCTAATGTGCTTAAATGTCGCGAAATACGTACCTCAGTGAAAGAATTATATGTGACAAACTATTTTTGCTATATTCTGCGGCACAATATTTTTGAGAATGCAGTCTGTCTTGGTTATGTATCCACAACTATCATTTCTTTTTTTCCTTTTTGCTCCACTTGGGAGCTTAGGGCTTCTACAAGAACATTTTTTCCATCTAACTCTCTATTTCTAGCCGTCTGTCTGTCCCATGTGGCGTTGTTTCTGGGTAATTCCTGAAGGATACTCCGTCGCCAGGTTGTCGTCTTTATTTTCTTTATATTCGTTTGACCGTTAGCTCAAAAATTTGGTTATAAATAATTATATGAATGCGTCTTGGTTTAATTGGTTTTAAAAGATTTAATTGCAAGAATTTTGTTCTAAATTAAAACTTGGGTACAAATACATATATGTTATTAAATGCATTTGCTAAAATATTGCTGTATTAGACTGTGAATCAGAATCGGCTCGCGAAATATAGAGGTTCACACACTCAGTCAGGTGGTGCCTTCCTCTGTGATTTTTGAACATACTACTTGTATGTTTATGGAATGCTAGTAGCTAGGAAGCGTACCTCACTTTGTCAAATCTCGCATAAATATGAATTGAAAGCGTTTTGTGGGAGATTGTCGAGCCAAGACTTGGGATTATGCATGCATTTTAATCAAAAACAAAACGCTGACCACATACAAGTATCACTATTATCTGTTATACAGATTTTGGCATGCGATGCACTTTCACAAGCAAACCCCAAAAATCACCATCGGTGGTGGGGGCGGGGCGACCGTTCATTCATTAATTCAGCAGCAGCAACAACAACAACAACTACAACTGACGACAAAGACGAATGCATGTCAATAAGCGATGGCAAAACGAGGAGCATAAATAATGCCAAATTGACATTCGGACGCATTGGCGAACGCATGCGAGTTACGTTGAGTCGTGGATGTTGTTGCTGAGAAGGCGAAGGTGAAGTCCCACTCGAACCTAACCCAACAGCAATGCTGGTGGTGGTGCTGGTGGTGGGGCACCACAGAAAAGGAAGTCCACTACGAAACTACTGCTTTCAGACATTTTTGTGGGTTCGGGTTCAGAGGCAATCGCAGCGGCAAAAGCAACAACAACAGCAGCAGCAGCAGCAACAGCAACGGCCATTTGCCTTTCGCTGCGCGCATGCGTCGTTTGCTGCTTTTGCACTTTGTGGTTTAAATATCAATGCATGCCTGGCCAACGATCGATTGGCGTCGCTGCCAAATGAAAGCCACAAACAGCAGCAGCAAAGGCCGCCTAACTTAAGCTATGCATGATAATACTTTTACAGGCTTTCGAAGCAAAATACTGCACACAACACCTTGATTACCTATTTCAATTTTCTCTCCATATTCTATTCTTGAACAGCTTTCTAACTGGCATTTATTTTATCCAAGTAGTTGCTATTTTAGCATCTGTAATAGATGCTTTCTCGCGTTTCTTGTGTTGTTCCCAAAATCCATGTAGTATAAGACATTTCAATGATTCAGTGATTCTTCACCTTTAATTTTTAATTATATTTTATTATTTTAGTATTTTAATTTGTTTTCTTCTCTATTTTATTGCTATTTTTTTTCCATCTCCACTTCTTTTTTGATAGGTCTAATAACGTATCTGGCTACTCTCTGCTGTGAATTGGGGCCGTTTGGCAAATAAAATTCCCCCTCCGTGTCCGATTCGTTATTAGATATTTTTGTCATTTTTATAGGCTTTTTTATTTCTTTAGTTTTACTTAGTTTAAGTTCTCTATTGTATTGTATTGATTTTTTTTATGCACATCGACTGCATTTTTTGTCGATAGAAATATATAATAAATAATATATTAATTTATAAATGAATAATATAGAATTTATAAGAAGATGCTGTTAGGCTCGTTTCAGTGCTTCATAGATAGACACAATAAACGTAGTTATATTTATTTATATTTATAGCTCCAAGTATATAAAGCAGTTTTATCAACACCTCATATTTTCTTTAACAGCTTTCTAAATGGCTTTTAACGCATTTGTTTTAACCAAGTAGTTCCTATTTATGTAATTACAGATGCTTTCTTGTGTTGCTCCCAAAATCCATGTAGTAGAGGTAGACATTTCAAGAAAATGCTTTTATATTTATTTAGATTTATCGCTACGAATACAAGTATATAGTAAGAAGCAGTTTTATCAACACCTCATATTTTCGATCTGATAAAACAAGGCAGTAGTGCTGCTATTAACATAAGCATATTCTTTATAAATGTACCCGTATATTCGGACTTAAGATCTAGACGCTTGTAAAATTTCGGAGAAATTCAATTTACGCTCACACAGATAGTTTCCGTAGTATTTATTGTTTGCTCGTAATATGAATTTTTGGGCTATCTAGTTATCTGGCATTGGCGTCGAATACTTGACGTGCTTGTGGGCTCAGCGACGTTAATTTGTTTTTAATCTGTAACGCCCACTTGAAATGCCAGAAGCAGCAATTCAATTTTATTTGAAGTGCCAAAAAAAAATGCTCTTGAGCTAATAATCAAGTTGGCGGCTTTGATGTGGGACTTAAGTTATTAATAAGATGACGCATAGGGAATTTTTACAACCAAAAATTTGAAGCGTACTCGTAAGATCCCGCCCATTTATATTGCTTAAAAGATTACAAAAAGATAGAAATATATCGTTATTTGCAATTTGGAGCCAGAGCAGTTTTATTTTGGTGGCTTCGTCCATTTTTTTAGGGCAATGCTAGATGAGAATATTGTGTTCCATATATAGGTTTGCGTTCTATACAATGTGGACTATTTGACCTTTGCTAATCAGATTTGTGGGCATTCCCCTAACAGAAATATTCAATTGTGCATAGCCAATGAATATTTTATTTATCAGCTCTTCCACTGCCCTAATGTGTATTTCGCAGTATAAAGGCTATTGGAGTATTCATGTGCACCTCTAAAAGGTTTCCGAGTGCTCATTGCACAATTTATAAGAAACGTTGTTTCGACTGCTCGGTCAGTGGCTTTTATACAGATTCTTCATGGGTTTTTCGTCATTTTTTTTATATCAATTGCTTTTTTCTAATTGATTTGCTATCTTTAAATCAGTTTTATTTTTAATAGACACGTATATATTCGTACAAGTATACGATGATGCCTAATCAAACGATTAGTCAGTTGAATGGTCAATATTTTGTCCGCTTATCAGTTCACCAAGTTTCAATTAAAATGCCATTATCATTGCCTATGGAATGCCCAGATATATACTCATACAAGTATATACATATACTCGTACATTGTTTTATCGCCAAATTAAAAAGAAAACGGTTGAAAAATCACTGTAAACAACAATGAATGACAATAGGCATGACAATAACAATTGGAACATTTCATCAGTCTGAATACCCTTGAAAAACTGTGTTGAATAACAGCAAGGTGGTGAAAATTCCAGAGATACTACTACAGCCTGGCTTGTAGAGAGTCGGACTGTTCTCTTCGTAGCTCTTCGGAGAAGGACAAAGGAAGATTGTATGTGTAGGCCTTTTCAATAAATGCCCATTGTAATCAAATTTGGGGCAAAGAATTGAAATGCTGTTCAACATAAAATTGGACAAGTCTCGATGCCGAGTTGTTCAAGGCCCTCTTCACCAATTATGCGAATAAAACTTCTAAGCTGGTTGAGTGAGCGGGCTTATAATTGTCCAGAGTCTGTGTCAGGACATCAGTTACTAAATCACTTTTCAATGTCACTTGGCGCAGACCTTGGCCGTGAAATCGGGCAGCTAGAAACCGGTCCAATTGACCTGATCTCCGCGCATACCTAGTTATAGTGGTATGTGGTAGCAAGTCAGCAAACCGGATCAATAATGCCAATCACTGTGGTCTGTGCACATAAATTAATGCTCCGTCGGTCTGTCTGATGGGCCAGTGGTGGACATCATAACGACTTAATTTATGAGCTCGCTAACCAAAAAGTGAAATTGGCGATGGGGCTAATTGAATTTCACGCTCGCTTTAAGTGCTCACTCATTTCAATTACTGGTTTCTATCACTTGCCTGTGGAGAAGAAGACTGGAACATTTTTCATTAGTTAAGGACTATAATTATTCAAAATGTAGAGATACGGATTGAAAATCAGAAGTCTTCTTACACAGCTCAGCACTGTAGAGAATTCCTCTAATTCCTCTTTCTTAATATTCATTTGAAATATAAGTAGACTTGGTTTTTAAGCTAGCATATGGATTAGAAGAGTATGTTTATCAAACTGATTTAAAGGCTCTAATTGCTTTTACGGGAATTGTGGGAAGCCGATTATTAACTTATTAACTGAAGTTCTTAAGGTTCCTTTTTGTTTAGCTAATACTTTGCGCGAACATAATTAATAACGAATTAGCTGTTTTATTTTTATCTACAAATTATATGATCTTCGACTGAAACCAATAAGTTCGATCTTAGGTCTTAGCCTTATTATACCCCTCATATATTGTCTTTACAAGTTGCAATTTTTTCATTTATTATTTCAGTTACCACACAGTTTTTGGGCATCTTTGGGCATTGTATGCCTCATGCTGCTCGTTACTCAGCCATGCAGCGTCTCTTCGTTATCACAGACGCCGCCGGACCACCTGGTGCCACCGCCCCTGCCCACGCCACAGCGTTTGCAGCATAGCTTTGCGCAATCAGAAGCACTGCGTCCGCCGCCACCACCACCGCCTTCATCCGCCTTGGGGGCGACAAGCGCTCAGCATCCGGACGCACCCGGACCAGGCTTTATGACCCGTATTGCTCGCTGGTTCGGCCTCGGCGCGCCACCGCCACGCGAACAGCAACTGAGTGCCAGCTCCCATAGCTATGCGTATCCAAAGCCGGCGCAGTCCTACGATGGCAAGCCTTGCAGCCTCTGCAACAAATATCCCTGGGTGCCCATGCTGCCGGCGCAGCTTCAACCACACCAGCAGCACCAGCACCAACAAAATTTCCAAAACACTTGGCCACAATTGGAGGCACAACCATCACAGCACAAGCAACGTGCCGTGCAATTCCATGCACCACAACAGAGTCTCTTTGTGCCCATGACACTGCCGGGTGCATTGAGCTCCGTGGCTCTGCCGCCTCTTTACAATGCACAGCCCTTCCGGCCGTTAATTGGAGGCACCTCCGGAGCACCCTCGTCTACACTGAGTGCGCAGCAGCTGCCCACGACGCAACCGGCGCATTTTGCTGAGAACGTGGGCGCCCATTCGGAACTGCGACCGGATCGTGTGCCCGTCTTACCCACACAGCTGCCACCTTCCACTTATCCAGCGGTCCAACACCATAGCAACAACAAGGACAGTAGCTTTGAGATTGTGCCGAGCCATCAACTAACCGACTTTGTCACCTCGGTTGAGTATCCCGCGACTTTTGTGCAGTCGCATGCCATCGACTTGGGATCCTCCGATGGGCTGCCCGCCAATCACAAGCAGCAGGAACATCACCAGCCGGAGCATCAGCATCAGTACCAGCATCCGCAGGAGCACCACCAGTATCAGCAGGAGTACGAGAAGCAACAAGAGCAACAGCATCAGCAGCAACACCAACACCAACAAGAGACGCTCGATGTTGGTACTGTGCGTTACCAGCTGGAGGATTTGCAAAGCGGACCCTTAAGTCAACATGTGCCCGCGTCACAGTTGCTCACCGAGCTGGGTCACTATACGGCCGCCACTCAGCTGCTGGAGCACACCTCCAGCACTCCTTCGGTGGAACTGGAGACTCAACCAACAACGCCGGCGCCGTCGCATTATTACGAGACACCTGCGGCGGACAACTTTCCGGCGGCTTCGTCGCAGCAACAGCAACAACACAATCATTACGCGCTTTGGCGCGCCCAGACGGATGTGGATTATGTGGAGGCGCTGCCCAGCACCAGCACATTGCAGCCGTTTTACGAGCAGGTAGACTACACCTCCACACAGCCACCAGAGCCGGAATCAGAGCCAGCTGTTGAATTGAACAATAATCTGGCGGGGGGCGTACACTCGAAGCTTCCGTTCCGATTGCGCGATCGTGACACGCCGAAGCGGCTGCTTGATGCGCCCATCAAATACGTTCAGCAGGGCGCTGGACCACCGCCACGTCCCTTCACACGCGATCCAGCCGACCTTAACTTTCGGCTGAGTCAAATGTACACGCCCACGCAGCAACCTGTGACGGCCAGTTTGGCTGTCACCCAACCGCCTACGCCCACCTCAACATATGGCGCCATTGATGCCAGTGGCCAGTATGCGGGCATGTCGCCGCCCAGTCCTCAGCAGGTCATCATACCGTACACCACCAAGAACAAGCCGCGACCCTTCGAGCCGACGCGCAGCGGCAACATCGCCTACGATGGCTGGACGCATGCGCAGGGCCATGCCAACGATGTGGAGCTGCACGAGCAGCAGGAATCGAAACTGGTGAGCACGGCGACGGCACCACCACCGCCAAATACGCGACGAACCACCAAATACCTCACCAAGATTCTGGCCTCCAATCTGCGCGAATTGCTGAAGCGGGAGCGCGAGACAAAGAGTCGCCCCCTCGGCCATAGCTTCGATATTGGCAAGTTGCAGCAGAACATCGATGGCTGGACAGAGCAGGAGTATACCTCGCTATCCCATCGGCCCAGCACGCCCACTATTCGTGGCCGTTCCAAGCATATACCCACAGAGTACTTAACCACGACTACGACACCGACGCCGCGACACTCGAAGACAAATCACGGAGGCTTTGAGCTAGGCGGCAGCCACAGCGGGGATGCTGACGTCGGCGATCTCTCCACCTCCATTAATAATCTGGAGCATCGTGGCAGTAAGCGTTTCCAGTATGTGTCGCCCATCGAGGATAATCGTCTGTTGGACTTTTATGAAGCGCAGCAACGGACGCGTACACCAGCCACAACCACCACCCCAATGACGCCCACTAGCACCCCCCTGGTCAGCACCACCGGGGCGACTGACGACGATGACAATGACCCCAAGGTGACGCCGCTCTATGTACGCGGCGCGGTGCCGACGCTGGCTCCCGCGGAGCTGTGGCAAAAGGCCAAGGTTGCCATCCTGCCACAGACTAATGAGAAAGTCTATGTGGTGACGCCACAGCCGCGTTACTACAGCACCGAGGCGCCACCGCCGGCCCCAGTCTATATATCGCCAGCGGCGAAAGCCAGATTTATGGTGCGTCCCACGCCCGGCAATGGTAAGTCCAGATATGGCAGATCTATGATATCTTAAGGATAAACAAAATAATTCAAAAACACCTAAAAGCAAATAGAAAATGAATACTTAATTCTTATTAAAGCTAAATACCTAAGGAAAGACTAGCAGCCGTGTATGATCAGAGCATTCACCAGGAGGTCTTTAAAACGAGACATTATTGGGTCAAGCTATTGGAATATATTTTCAAATAGGAACAAAAACAAATCGATATTCCCTCATCCTTAAGACTAAATCATCAACTTTGCTTGATATCGTAGATTAGTACAAAAAAGTCAAATTTTCATGGGCTTTCTTTCTTGGTGAATCTAATTATTAATTATCTCCCATCTCTCTCTCTCTCTCTCTCTCTCTCTCTCTCTCTCTGTAGTTGCACAGGCCGCAGCAACGCCATCGTCGGCGCAACAACACAATTATACGCCCGACATTTTTGGACTGATGGGTCTCTCTGCCTATGTGCCTGCCGATCCTGTGGAGATCATCGATGGCAACTCCAAAGTAAACCGCAATGCCGAAACGCATTTAGTGTACGCCTGATAACTGATATTCTTGTCGTCTTGTCGTCCTACACACACACACACACATACACACACCCACCTAATTAACGCCACCACTGAACCACCCCAACCACACTCATCTACACACATGAATACCTGCAGGTCATCACCATCGTGACGCCGACACCTAAAGCAGCGGCCCTGCAACGCCTGCCAGTGACAGCGAAGCCAACAATGTCGCCATCGCCTAGATAGGCGGGGTCCCGCCCACAGCCACTACGCATCTCTGTTGTAATATATTTCTCTGGACCAGGCCCAGGCCTGGGCCCAGGCGCAGCGAACGAAAACGAATACTTAGCCTAGGTTAGTCTTGCAAATCAAAAAAGCTCTCTGTCTCTGTACTTTAATGTTCTTTAAGCTTTTTAAATCAATGATTAGAAGTATTTTGCATTTGGTAGCTTTATATATAAAAGAAGAAGGGAGGAACGTTAGATGTGAGTGTGGATTTTAGCTCTAGTACGAATAAGTATGTATTTTATATTCCAATTTTTTTTTTCTGCTACGCGTTCTTTCATTTTTGTTTGCAAATAATTGTAAGTGCTTTAAAATAAAATTTAAATAAGGTATATTTAATGTTTAGTTGGAGTTTATGAGTCTTGTCATTGCCACGCCTAACCGTGTGTAGGCGATTAACAATGTTTGTGTATAGAAGACTAAACATCAAAAATCATACAGATATACCAATCATATATTCATACATAATCGTACATACATATGTAATAAAACCCGCAAAGTCACTTTAATGTATTTTAATTTATAAGCGCGCAAACGAAAAGAAAAATAAAAAAAAACCATGCACTCATTTTTGTAATATTTGCCAATAAAGTTATGTTTATGTGAATGCAAGTTCCAATTATTCTTGAATAAATTACAAGGTCTACGAACCCATGCACTCCAAAATCTGAATCCAAAAGGCCGAGTTCAGAGTCGTCGGCACTTTCGAATTGAATTACTGAATAACTCCTTGACATTCTCGTAGCAGGCGAACATAAGGCATCGGCCAGAATCAGTTTTAAAGAAACACCTAAAAGTATGCAGCAAAACATATTTTCGCTCTGCACATCTACCTATGTACTTGTATGTATGTATGTACGTATGTATAACGAATTGCAACAGTTGTTATCAGCATATTATTAACATTTCACGTTTTGCTTATCTGTCATGCAAACATATATACATATATATACAATATATATTGCCAGAAGTAGGGGGGGAGAGAGCCAGAGAAGTAGCCGAATCGCAACCCACATTCGCGTTTTGTTCGTCTTGCTACAAACTCATGTTCCCCCAATATGAGGTTTTGATTATACTTATTCCGCCGATCCATTATTTACGCTAAACGGTTTCTGCAATTTTCGAAACGGCGAAAAGAAGGAAACTGTAGAACCAGTCACAATAATCCAACTTCGTGGTGCTGGGCTAGTCCAAAATCTATAAAAGTTTAAAGGGTTACGAGTGCGAGGGAAAATCATCTTTGCAGTCATAAAAATTGATATTAAATATGTTTCGCTTCCAACTTCTTCAGTGGGGTAGTCCGAGAATCTGGCATGATAGATAGTAGCTATCAAGATAAACGACATTATGGGTTTTTAGATTTGGGGCCTGCGGCAATGAATTTAATTGGGCAATTGGTTGATTTTCCAATATCGGACATTGTTATCAATACTTTTTCAAAGTTCTCAAAAAGTGCGATTTCTTTCCACTGCCCATTTGGTATTTAACCTCAAAGACTGTGTAGGTCTAATCCAGTTCAATTTTCACAACATTTTCAGAATTGCAAAAAAATAATAAATAACACATCGCTTTTCACTATTACTACAAATCGAAAAGTGACTTCGAAGGTCCGATTCACATCGGCAACGAAATCGAAAATGTAATCGGTTTACCATTTACACTACATACGGGTACTTCTTTCTCGTAACCTACTTATATTTGACTCTTTGGGTATTTAGAAAACTCAAGCTTAAAACTATTAAAAAAAATATTAGGAGTACGGCTTTTGGGAATTTGGCACCAGCCTTGCGAACTTCAACTCTTCACTCCGCGTCTGTGTCGTCGAATGAGCGCTTCCAGAGACCACGAGATTGCGGCCACAAAGGACATTGCATTTAAGCAATGCAATGTCACTGAGTAGTCGAATCGATCCCGCACGAGACCTGAACGATAAAACATATATATGGTTAATATAATTATTTTTAAAATATAGATGTTTCTCATCAACTTACCAACAAATGGGCCTGCTGCTAGGGTGAATAGGCCCGAGATCAGTAGCTGTAGGCCCGAAGCTCCTGGCAAGCGATTTATCGGCACATAGCCGGGTATGATGAGTGGCCAGAATATGGTTCGTACGCCCTTGCACAGACCGATCCACACAAAGGAACTCAATATAATGGCATAGGATCGTGTGCAGGCGACAACGGTGCGACCCAAGGCTATGCCCACGACACCGATGAGGAAGAATACCCGGTTGTCCCACGCAATGTGCTCCGTGATGAACGGAACAAAGAAGCGCATTGTGATGTCCAAGCCGGCCAGGAGCGACATGGCCAGCGTTATTTGTGAAGTGTCGAAGCCAAAATCGTCCAAAATAAATGGCGTCAGAATGGAGAAGTTCAATTCGCCGAAATTAATGATGGTTAGACCAGCAACCAAGTTCACGAACGTAAAGTCCCGCAGCAGGTCCAAATCGAAAAATGTGACAATTTTCTGCCAGCAGCTAATGGATTGCAAGCTAGCTGACTCCTCTTCCCCAACCCCTTCCCCATCACCATCTTCCATGTGCTTCTCCAATGAAAACGGCGCATTGTTGTTCTCGGTATGGGCATCAATGCGATCGTATAATGCACGCTGTTCGCTGCAGGTGCAGGACATCTTCAAATCCATGTTGCCGGTCAAGGAAAACTCACGCTTCAGACCCTCGTTGTTCTCGTCTCGCTCTCGCTTGAAGTTATTCGGCTTAAGAAACTCCCTCGACTGCAGCTCTTCAGCCTCCTCGGATATAACGCGATTTAAGCGCTGCGTGTGCTCCAAGTCCTTGGAGCTGGAGACGGTGCGAAACCGCAGACGGCCCCCGCCATTGGAGGCTAGTGAGAGGCGTGATCCATACCAGCCGTCATTGGCCCGTGACAGCATTGGCGTGCCCGGCTCAATGATCTCATAGCCAGGTCGCTGGGCATCGTCATCCTGGTAGAGATATTGGCTAGAGAATATGCCCGTTTCCCGTTTCCGCTGCAGTGTGCAATGAGCGCACAATGTCTCCGCCTGCTGCTGCTCCTCCCCCACCGGCGAAAAGCCTGGCGGTGGGACGTGATAACGGACCGGCTGATAGAGCATAGCACTGACGAGGGCGTGTAGCGAGAGGGCAGCAAAGATCAGCACCGTGCTCTGCACTCCGTACACACCCAATAAATAGGTCACACAGTAGGGCAGAAATATGGGGCCCAGTCCGGTGATGGTCCACGAAAAGCCAGCAGCCCGTCTCCGTTTCTGCTGAAAGTACGTGTTGATGGCCAGCGAGGAGGCCGACACGCTGATGCCCATCCCAAAACCTAAAAAGTATTGAAAAGTATTGAATCAGAAAATTGCAAAAGTTGATAATCACAGAAGAAAGCTCTAAGATCAATGAAAATCAACTTCTATGTTTCAAACATATTGCACAGAAATTTAGTTGCATTTTAGATGATTGCTCTATAGAACAGCCAGAAACTAGTCTAAACAAGTCTAAAACAAATCTATGTTGTTCTTCTTCTCTTTAATCTTAATTTAAGATCTGTCCTAGGTAGGACAATTAATCAATTTTATGAGAACTTTGATGATATTTAATCATGCTTCTGTCATGATGGAACGAAATCACATTGTGGTATGCCAGACCCCAATTTATGTATACTGTTCAATTTATAATGCCCCAACATAATCTGAAGTTTCATCTAAATCAGCGCCCTTTATCAAATAGCTGTCATAAGGAGGAGGAGCGGGCACAGGGTATAGATCATAAATTTACAGTTAAGCAGACCATACTTTTTTCGAATGGTTCACAACTTTTATTGTTGAGCTAAATCTTTTATTTAAATAAATAACTACTTTTAAGTAAATGTGCCAGGCATAGAGGACTTGTTTTTAGGACTACCTATAAGCTTAAAAATCAGTTATGCTGTTCGCAAGTTAGTTGAGTTGAATGCCTCTCTTGAAAGAGTTGAACAGAAATGTTGAAACAATTATTTTCGTTACTTCTTTGTGACTTTCAATGAAATGGTTCGACCTTTAGAAAAACCCCCTGACATTCCTTCACTTACCAAAGAGCAAGGCGTAGGCAAACATATAGCCGGCGAAGGTCTCACAAAAGGCAGTAAGCAGAATGCCGGTAAATATGAGAAGGGAGCCGGCTATAGCCACCTGACGGAAGGTGAAGCGCCGGAACATGGGACCGTTTAGCAGGCCCGTGCAGGCAGACACGGCCGGATTGGTGTTGATAATGGTCGTAATTTGTGAGCTCGTCATTCCCAGAACTGTGAGGCGTTCGCGGAATATAAAGCCGAATTGCTGAAGGCACGGATATATCGATAACTGTCGACAAAACATATATAATTTGTTAGTCAAATAATTTCAGAATCGGAAAATCCATAAAAACTCACATTAGATACACCCGCCGCGACACAAACTAGCCACGCCCAACCACCGTCGGGCGCCACGAAATCCTCACCCAAATCGCTCTTGTCCTTTCTGTTGTAGTAGAAACGTCGAGCACCCGGTTTTGTTGACGCAGCCCTCGACGCTGCTCCCGATGTCGACGTCGAGGGCATGTTTATGCTAACTTTTGGCAGGGGCTGTGTTGTGTCCTTGTAAACCTTGTTCGACGGCTCCATTGTGTGAGTCGGTGGGTTTTGTGGTTTTTGTTCTTAGCATGCACAGACGATCACCGGAGTATGAGCTCTGCATTGGCTGCTGTAAGATCAATCCAATATATCTGCTATATATCTGAAAATGAATATCCATTAAAAATTTGAATCCATCTAATTTGTTTTGTTTTTCGAAACAACGACAAAAGCCAAGGAATTTTGTAGCTCTATCAAAAGTCAGCTTGGTACAAAATGCTTGCCTAAGTATATTTTTCTTAATTTCGAAATTCTTGATAAAAGATTATTTCGAAAGGCATTTGATTTGAGAACAACACGTAATTGAGAAGCTTTTTTTATTTTATTGTAGAATTGCATTCCATATTGAATTTTTACTAAATAATTTTGTTCTGTAAAGCTCCACATACTCAAAACACATAATTTATTCTTCCGGTTTTCGAATACAGGAAAAATCACTCCAAGAGAGAGAGTGAGAGAGTGTGAGAGAGAGAGAGATTTTATGCCCTGCTTATAATTTTAAACTTTCTTATAAAGCATACCTAATTTTGATTAATCTTTTGGCTTTATTTAAGTCGATTATTAAATAGATTAATGCTTGAGATGTGAGAGAGGAATTTCTAAAACTAGTATAAAAATAATGCTCGCCGAACACTGAGACTTGTTTTATTTTAATTACTGCTGATTGAGATAAGAGAGAATCACAAATCTGTGCCTGGGTATTCGAAAATTGTACCTTTATTTAAGGACTGTACACAGTGAAAAATGTTTGAATGTTGTAGAAAGCCATCTCTATGGGATTATACAACGATTTTAACGATTAGGTTTTTTAATTTATGGATTCTATACAAATACTAATCGTACACGAGTATGTACTATATATAGTAGTACTATATGCATTGCCACTCCCATCTCGAAACAATTGCGAGCGCACGTTCCAGCTGTTTCGATTTTTACACGTTTTACAATCTTCTTCTCTCGCTCGGTATTACATATACTTGTATATGTATATACCTACACTATGTAGTTATACATCATTATTAGTCTGTCTGTCCGGATTTTTGGCAGCAAGTTCACGGCTGTGGCGTTGCGGCGTTTGACAACCGACAAAATTGTTGGCACACTTCGCAATACGTCGCGAATTTGAGGGCAGGGGCCTTCTTATCAACTCTGTCACATGATGACAGACTCCAAAACAGCGGCAATCCAACACCCATATAGACAAATGCGTAGTCAATGTATTCCAAAATTATTTGCATTTTTCTTTGTGAATCATTTGCGCCACAAAATACACGTATGTATGTATCAGAGTGTTATAGGTCTTTATTTGAATTGCACTTTTTACAAACGATCAAATAATTTCTGAGCATACTTTTTAAATCAGTTTATTGCTGCCAAAGATAAACTAAAGTGGCAATTTTCAAATCTAAAACCAATCCAAGTCGAGACCAAAGGGAACACTGCAGAACAAACATGCCTTTGAGGGGCTCGTATTAACTTAAGCATAAAATAAGATAAGTATTGGTATTGTAAAAAGTAATACCAATATCTGCACTATATTTAAAGGATTTTTAGGTTAAAGTCGAAGAAATCCGTACAAATATGGGCTAATTGAGAACGAAACTAACTTATTATTTTCAGTAACACATTTCTAAACCTAAGTTTTCCTATCTAAACATGACAAGTACAGAGACATCTATTGTTTGCAACAGAAAGCTATAATTTAAATTTAAAATTATAGCGAATATTCGCCTACATAGAAATACATATATTTACTTACATATGTACAAGTATGTGTGTACTTGTAAATAGTCTCTATATATTGCAGTCATGCTGATGGGGCAGTAGTAGCTCCTCATTTGATTGAAATGTAAACACTTATCGCCATCAAAGATATAATTAATATAAAGGCAGACAGGCATATACATAGATAGATAGCTTGACAGATAGTTAGTCGGTGGACACGATAAGCGTGAATTGCGATTATTGATTGATAAGGTCGATAAGATTGTGATTGCTATAGCTTTGATAGAATACCCAAGTTACACTCCGAGAGAAATTCGGCGTCTTCTGTAGACTTGAGGAGGCTGGGGCAGCATCAATTTGTAGCTGCACAATCAGACATTGACATGAATGGGCCACAGCCTGAGCCAGAGGCTAGATAAGAATTGACGCCGAGCTGATTTCTACATACTATGTACATATATACATAGATGCCCAATCACGCTGCCGAACTGTGGCGAATTCTCCACAATGATAACGCTGTAGTTGTAAACATTCATATGATAGTTTCGCTTATCAATTGGTAGGTGGTCATTATCTGATCACTATCGATATTACTAGCCGCACACATGTTCCAATAAACAATATCATTTGCGAGTTAAAACCAATGCTGGTTGCTTAGCGGATTTTCATTGATTTGTTGCTGCTTTTGATTTTTCTTCTTTCTTTCTTTTTTTTTTGGCAAACGACAAACTTGGCACTAAACTGTAATTGCCTATGGCCTTTTGCTTTGGTTTTGACTTTGCCATTAAATTTGCAAACAATTTGTTTTTACTTTTTTGCACGCACACAAACACAAACACACACACACACTTAGCATATGTACACACTGCGCACAAGATTTGTTGTAATTCCTTTAGACGGATACAAAAAAAAAAGAAAAAGAAAATGGAACAAAAATACGACAATTGTTGTCAAGTTGAAGGCTTTGTGGCACGCACATTTAAAGTCGCCCACTCGCTGCTCACCTGTTGCAAATTGTAAATTGCACGTTGCACGCCGCACAATGTGGCTCCCGCAGGCACACCCACACAGATACACACAGATACACACTTTACATAACTTTTAGCAACTTGTGTGCCGCCTTAATTATGCATCGCCTGCAGGTAGCAGTGGCAGTTAGAACGCTTCTAATTGGCCCGATAAATCTCTGCAGACTGCTCAACTCAACAACCGCTGTGGGTGCGCACCGCACAGAAACTGAACCTAGCCAAGCCGACGACGATGCCGACGTAAAGCCTCTACCCAGTGTTGCCAACTTAGCTATTTTCCCACCAGCTTAGGCCTTTTTCGAAGTTCTGCCCTCGAACTGTTGCTTTATTGAAAGTTTAGCTACTTATTTAAAAAAAAAAGGATAACAAAAAAGCCATAATTACTGTTATAAACGTTATTGCACTAGTATAGGTATATGCATTTGACTTGCTTGAGTTTTTTCCCTGTATTATTTGCTTATATTTATTCGATGTTTTCTAGCATTTTCCCCAAATTGGCATCAAAATTTTTAGGGAGCAGATAACCTTTCAATGGCGACCAGATCCCATTACAATATAAAGAAGCCAAAATTGAAAGAATATGTCATAGGAAGAATATAAGATTTGTTATCTATATTATCTATATTAAAAAAACGAGTATTGGAACAAAATTACACATAGACATTAATTTGTATGCAATTTGTGTTTATGAAATACAAATAATATGTCGATTGAGCTTTAATTAATTTTATTTCGAAAAGCCAAGTTCCTTTTCTTTAAATACACTTGGCTTATTAAAGCGCGACAGAATTAATAAATAAATAATAATTGTTGCATATTTTTAAATATTCTACATTTGTAGTTATTTTTAATGCCCTTTCAGCTATTTTTTTGCAGTAAGAATTGGCATCACTGCCTCTATCCCTTGTTAACATTTCTCTGTTCTTGCTGGCTGTTAAGGAGCTGTTGTTGACAGCGTTAACAGCCGTTACAGTTTTAGAAGTGTGCTTCTAAAAGCTTCCATTTAGTTGGGAATGCAGTGCGCCCTAATAATTTCTTATGGGTAGCAGCGTTTTACGAACTCTGGTTTAAATACGCATTTTCACGCACTTCCGATCATCAGCGTAAGGATAATGAGAATAAATGTCCTTTTTCTGATTTGACGTGACATTAGAAGAAGGGTAAAAGCAAATTAATTATCGTTAATTGATATTGGAATCGTAAATGGTAAACATAAGACGGTCTTACAATATACAAAACTGACCAAAAACCTGAACTTAAACTTTGTAGGCCATCACAACAGGGTAGAGCTTTGAACTCTTTAATTTAATAATATTTGAACATTTCTCCTAAATATTACAAGTAAAGAAAAACTGTTTGTTAACTTTTAATTTTTCGGTCACGGTGGACTTTTCTGTGGAAATGTCCATATTAGGTTTGTGCAAAGTATGTAACAGACAGAAGGAAGCATCTCCCACCTCATACAAGTAAAGTATATATGTATATTCTGAATAGACATGTCCGCCCGTCTGTCCGTCTGGGTCCAAGGATATCAAAAACTATAAAAGTTGGAATAACCAATCCCAGTATCCCATCCGAGAAGGGACGATTTTATTTTATTTTTTGGAATTTTCCCCTTTCCCTGCTACAGATTTCGTCAATTAAACTTGTCACACTTAATCTCTATGAATTTATCCACTTTTGCTTTTGCAATTCATAGAACATTTATTTATTAAAATCCATATAAATCGGTTTTAGGAATATTCACTTCGCTTCACAAAAGGTGTGATGTGTCATTTTTTATTAGAATTGCGATTGCAAAGTTAGTTGCATTAGTTTTTTAAGATTCAACTATTGGTCTCGTTACTGCTCGTTTAACTGCGCCAACAGCATTTCATAGAGCATCCAAAATATCCAAGCCCGGTTATGGGCTACGTAGGACTGGGTTGCTTCCTGATACACCAAGCAGCACAAGTCGGTGAACACAGCCAGAAAATCGAACAGCTGATCGGTATTATAGGTAATAGTCTGCGCATCGGGATACTGATTCAGCAGACAATCCTCATAGAATTTGCATAAAGCCTCAATGCAGGTATATATGTTGTCGTAAGTGCAAAAAATATTGCCCTCAGAACTTTCCAGTAATAATATGACGGGCGACGATCCCAAGACCGCTGTGAAAAGCAAAAAATTTACAATTTATAGTTATCATATCATATATAGTAATTGTCTACTTACATCCATCATGCATAGGTGGAGTGTAAACAGGCATATTTTCTATAAGTTTCTTGAGAAAGTTGCTTTGAAGAAGATGTGAGGAGAAACTAAATCTCAAATGACAGTGACAATGACAAAATCAAATTGACAGGATGAGAAAGGATCGGTTGATGTTGTGCCAAAATTTCTCAAAATGCATTAACTTGCAACTAAACTATTTAGCTGACAACTGAATAGAATTTATTGCCCCTGATTAATATAAGCTCCAAATTTAAAAATTATTATTGCTGTTCAACGTACATATGTATATATGTATGTATATGTAGGCTTAGACACACATACATAGCTTGGAAGGACATATTTTCGTGGGGGTTCATAAGGCGCCCATATCGCCCAGCTAATAGGAATAAAAGTACGTTTTAAATGGTTGTTAATATTAGTTAAGCTACAGTTTATAAATATAACCTCTTAATACTGACGATTAATCGATGGCATTATAATTAAACACAAGTCGGGATATTCCGCTATTTCACATATATGTACATATAATTACATAAATAAATATACAATAAAGCTTTGAGTTCCTAATAACATACTTCTAGATCCAATTACGATGGCATTGCCTCCGCAGTATCCTCTGGCGGTAACTGTAGATTTCGGCCCATCTTATCGCTATAGACGGTACTGAATTCTGGGCGATTTATCACAGTTGTATCGCTTACATGATCACTTCGCTGCATATGAGCCAGCAATTGGGCTTTTCGCATAAACCCAGCGTCGCAAACATTGCAGGCATACGGCTTCTTGTTGCTGTGGACGAACAGGTGCACCTGCAGATTCTCGCGGCGTTTAAAACGCTTCCCACATATATCACAGCTGAAGTGCTTTTGATCCGTGTGGCAGAGCAGGTGTTGCTTATAGCAGTGCGGATGACTGAAAGTGGCCTCGCAGTGCTCACAGCGGATGTCTCGCACTTTAGTGTGCGCTGACTTGATGTGATAATCCAGCAGGCGTTGTCGTTTGTAACACTTGCCACATTCGGTGCATTTAAATTTGGCCTCGCTTAAGTGTGTGGTTTGTAGATGGGTACGCCAGTTTGAGCGCTGCGTAAAGCGGGCACCGCACAGCTCGCACTCGTATGGTCGCTCTCCGGTGTGTGTGCGTATGTGATCGTGCAGATCCTTGGTTTGACCAAACGTCTTGCCGCAGTGCTTGCAGGTCAACTGTTTGTGCGTACGGCGGTGGGCAGTGAGCTGTGGGCGCGTTAGAAATGTCGCCGAACAGCTGGTGCAAGCATAGCTACGGGTTTTCTGCGGCTGCTGTTCTTTAATGTGGGGTTCTTGCTCTTTCTGCTGCACACTAACGCACTCCTCCTCTGTCTTGATCTCAACAGTGAGCTCGCCAGCGGCGTCCTCGTCATCGAAATAGATTAAATCATCCGACTCTAATGTGCTCAGTTCTGCATTGTCACTTCTTAAATCGGAGTCTAAATCCGACTGTGCCTCTACCTTGATGTCCAATGGCTGTATATGTTCAGCATCGCCGACACATTTAACAGTTTTGACATGCATTTCGTAGAGTTTTATTGTTTTTTTGTGTGTGCGAAGTATTTCATATCGAGCCTCATACAGCTTGCACTCCAAGGCCTCGAAATTTAACAGACTCACCTTGCAAGTGCTGCACAACAGCTGTGAGGAGTGGAATGTAAGTTAAAATTCAGCTTCAGTTACAAAAATTAACAACACACCGTCGAGTGCACGCTTTGCTCATGCAGTTCGTAACCCAAAACGATGGCTAGTATAGAAGCCAGCGAATTCTGTGGTTGGCCATTCACATTTAGCCGCTCCTCAAACATCCGTTCGTACACCTTATTATCCCGGAAATTATAGTTACAGAGATAACAGCGCGCGTCGCCAGCCTCGCTGAAGTCCATTATTGCCAAAGAAACAGATTTAATTTAAATAGCTGCAAACACAAATCAGCTGTGTATTTGGCGTTGCCACTTAGAATGGCGGCGTTAACATTGATGGCATTGCGGCCCATTTATGTACATATGTATGTATGCGCATCTACATAATAAATTCAAATAAAAGGAAAGCCGCAGCGGGCCTTCAAGCATGCCAAATAAATTGACCCAATTCGAATTATAAAAAACATACATATGTATACACATTCCATGTGCGTGTCATTGAAATAATTCCAATAACTGCCGTTAAAATTATCATAACAAAATGATGTCCTCGATGTCCACCCCATTACGTATTACCAAGTAAACCACTAATGAACGTTTTTTTTTTTTTGGGAAAGCCAACAAATTTGTTTGACTCTTTTTGTAGTTTAAGTTTTGCGATTATTGAACTTGATTGAGAAGGGGTTGGTAGATTCCTGGTACACTAGACACTGCACTATAAATTACAGAAAAGGGTTTTTGATACAGATTCGGCATCATTACAAGCGTAAAACAGAAACTGTTACCAAATCGATGTTTTCCAAATACGAAAAGTGTATTTAAAAAATAGCTAGCTCGCCGCATTGAACAAATGGTTTTTGAATTTCCAACAGACATATTAAAACCCAAACGATAGGCAATGTCAAGGCAGCGTCGATAGCAAAGGAAATCGATACTTTTAATATTGGAAAGTAAGTTTCATTTGTTGAATTCGATGCATCTAATCGAAATAATATTATGTTTCGAAGCAATGCTGAAGTTATTTGTCCAACGTTACATAAATATAATATAATTTTCTTATAATAGTGACAATGCCTTAATTAGGGTTGTAGATAGAACAAGAGGCGAACTATCAATAATGTAACGCCGATAATTGTTATGTCTATCGGCACATCACAATAATTGAACACATATTGGGGAAATCCACATTTATTCACACAATTCTGTAACATTTACATACAAAATAAACAATTTTTCGTTTAATTTTGTTTATTCTATTTTGTGTTTGCAAAAATGTTTGATTAGCTGGCGATTGCATGTGTCTGCAATTAGCTGTCACTGTCATTATTGTTATCATCCAGATCTTCCCATTGCCACCGTTCTAGCACCTCCTCCTCCTCCTCCTGGTCGTTCTCTAACTCCCCATCACTCATAGATTCCGCCGGCTGGTGCCTCCCCTTCAGGTGATAAGGTGGAACGATTTCGAGTCTGTGGCTGTTTAAAGAGAGTTAAGCCTTTCTATACTAACAATAATAAAGAAGGTGCGTACTTACGAGACTTCAGAAAATTCGATTAGCGTTGAATTGGCTATTGATACAAATTCAAAGGCATTTATGGCCGCAACCTCAGAGTTTTGTATTGGACAGTGGAGACGGCTAAAGTTAAACGGTGGTCGGTCTTCAACCTCCAACGAGTCAACCTTGGGAGTGCCAGTTATGCGTTTCCCGAAAGTATCCATATTAATGACGCGCTTCACAAAGCAAAAATGTTAGAACAACTTGTAGGTTTCGTTTCTCGACTGCCACTGACTCACAGCAGAAGTTCAGAGCGATCGTCAAGGGAGCCGAAAGCCTGCGCCAAAATGCCGAGTCGGCACATTCCACAAGGCGAGAGTAAACAGAGCGGATAAGTGGACGCTACGGAAGGCGCGCACACACATAGACATAGTATTTACATATGTATGTGTAGGCGGGCAGCTTTGAATTGTTATAAATGTACACCTAATTCTGTTTTTACACGGTTTGAAAATTAACAAGTAAAAAAGCTAAAGTCGGGTGTCCCGACTTTGAAATACTCTGTACATATGTTTACAATAATTATAGAAAAAAAAAAAAAGAAAATTAAAAAAAAAAAAAATTGGATCGATTTTACCTTTCTCGGTATTCGAACTCACGTAAAGGGTATATAATTGCATATTTACATAGCAATTGCGTCTGTGTGAGTGTATGTATGCCTATGCGCATCCATTCGTGTCTGTGTAAACATGTTAGCAGTCAACTAAACAGCATCAACAACAGCCGCGGGCAGCGCTTGAGCAGCGCTGCAGCAGCAAATATATTTATGGCTATAACTTCTTGTTAAATCGGTCTATCATAGTGAAACTTGGCATACGGACACATAATGGGGGTATTTGCAAAACTCAACAAAATAGTTCGAAATTCCAAGAATTACGGGAGTTAGAGAAAATCGCGATTTGCGGGGGAGAGGGGGGAGGGAGGGAAATTCCAAAATATATATTTTTTCTGTATTCACACAAGGCATCTTGGACTAAAATTTGGTGTTCCTAGGTCTTATAGTCTCCGAGATATAGGCGATTATACGAATGGAAAATCGGGAAAACCACCATAGGGGGGAAGTGGGGGGGAAAATCAAAAAAATAAAACAAAATCGTATAGAATACACACATAAGGCATCTTTGTGGAAAATTTGGTGTCTCTATCTCTTATAGTCTCTGAGATCCAGGTGTTCATACGGACGGACAGACAGACAGACAGGGCTAGATTGACTGATACTTTGATTTTGATTGATACTTTGTGGGGTCTGCTACACCTCCTTCTGCCTGTTACATTTTTCAGCTCCCGCAAACCTAATATACTTCTGTACATTTCATTTACAGAGTATAAAAATTGTATATGTTGTTACACGACTTTATTCCTTTCCAACGATTCAAAATAACACAAAATCAATTTTTCATAAACTCACACAGCTGACAAACAGCTAGAAACAGTTCTTATATATGGGATTTATTAAAATAAGAATAATCCTTGTTTTTTTTCACTGATTTTAATAGGTTTTAGAGATAAGGAACAAATCACATATTCTGCATATGATCAATGTATTCTTTTACACGGTTTTTTCTGGAACCAATCTACCGTGTAAAAACAAAATTAGATGTACATATATACATACATATGTATAAATATACATACATATATATGCATAATAGAAATTGGAGCACAGGGCCGATAATTAGCCTGAATCTCCAAGTTTGAAGCTTCATAATCAAGTACTATGTATAATAAGAATTGCTTTGGCGTTAGTTTTCAATTTTTTTTGTTTTTTATTTTTGGGAAATTCTCGTAATTTCCCTTCCATCGTCAATGTTCTTATAATGTGTTGCGCATCCCGTTTATTACATGATTCGTTTTGGTTTTGTTTCAACATTTCTTAACGTCGCTTTAAAACTTTCTTTGTGTTTTTATGTAATATATTCATTAATTGTTGATTACTTGCTGTAACTTAAACGCATTGCAGAAAAGTTCAATAACGTTCTAAGTTATTTAATTTAATTAATTTTAATGCAATTTATTTATACGCTATGTAAATATAATTTGTTCACAACTGTTATATAAGTATTCTCGTTTTATTCATCATCATCATCATCATCTTTTAATGCAATTTCTTTTTCGTTTTCTTTACTTTTCTTGTTGGTTTGTTGTTGTTTTCTTTTTTATTTTTTGATTTTAAAGCAGTTGCTTTCAACAATTGTTTATCAATCATTACTGTATAATTCACACATTTTCTTTTTATGATTTGAGTTTTAATTTTAAAATTTATAATTGTATAATTGTAATTTGGTTTACCTATAACTACTACATATAGACGACATACTCGTATTAATGCGTGTGTGTGTGTGTGTGTGCGGTGTGTGAGTGTGTTCGTGTTACCTTAACTTGAGTTTAGTAATGTTAACAAATTTACAGACTTATATTGTTATTACAATTATAAAATATGCCTTTGAAATGTAACAGGGATGGATCATAAAGAAACGTGTATATAGTATATTCTAATGTACGTTTTTCTGAGGGGAGAGCATCATTCGAGTAAATAATTGCAATGTAGAAAGGTTGCTATTCTTTCATCTGGGTTGCTCTTTTTTTTTTTTTTTTTTTTTTGTTTTAAATGCTAAAACTTCAAGTTCGACTCTATTTGTATTTATATCTTATATATACGTATTTGCTTCTCGATTTCGATTCTGCCAGATAGGTAGGAAGTGTGGGGAACGACGGTGCATTTCGTCCTGAGAGTCTATAACTTTTTAACCGTTTTTGGAGTTTGTTTTGTGGCTGCTTCGCTTCGATTTTTTTTTACACACGTCTACATGTTCAATTGTTGTTGATTTTATTTATGGAATTTCATTTCTTTTTGTTTTAAATTGTTTTATTAAATGCTATAAGTAAATACCTGCCTGCCTGCCTGTCTATCTGTCTGCTTGCCTTCTCTTTGCATTTATTTGGTATTCATTTTTCGTTTTGTTTTCTCAACACGATTCTTTTTTTTTCATTAAAAACTATTTTGGCCTTACGGGGTAACACTACGCTACGTTTTGAAACATTTTGCGGCATAAAACAAAGTTATTCTTTAGTGCTGTAAAAACCCATCTGAACAATTCATGAATATGATTGAGCTACAGTTTAGTTTTATATATACAGGGGTGGACAACAACAACTGAGTGGAAGGACATACATACACATTTTTTCTGGATTAAAACCCTACAAATACATATGCTCTTTGAATTGTAAAAGTAAGGTAAATATTAGAAGCACTTCGCTTCAACGATTTTTTTCACTTGTAACAACAAAAAAGCGCGTAAAATATTATCTACATTTTTGAAAGTGCTTCGTCATTTTGAAAGCATGGAATTGAAATCAAATGCCCCTTTGGAAATGAAAATATATATTTTTCTAAAAGGGAATTCGATTTCAATTGAATGTCCTTGCCTTTCGTGCTTCTCATCTACATTTAACTCTGAAATTTGGCGGTATTAGACAAGCGGAACGTTGGCGAAGTGAACAGAAAAAATCGAGCTTTAATCCATAAAAATATTCTATCCATTATCTTTTATTTTGTGGATACTCGTATGTAAATCATAAAAGACATTTTGTGAAATAAATTCCACCACTTCTTTCTAAAGGACCATACATACCGAGCTAACAAGAGCGCTCCTAAAACTAGGAGAAGAAACATCATTTGTTAACGTAGAACTTTTCTCTCGTAAGATCGATATTCAAGTCCATGTTTGGGGCAATTCGATTTTGGAATGGAATGTTGACTGTACGTTTAATATGTATATATGTATGTATATGCGGTTTTCGTTTTACTTGTGAATTGCAGAGATAAAACGTTTTGTCGATGTTCCTGTGGGAGTTAGAGAGAAAGGAGAGATATCTGATCGGAAGGTCTGTTCCAATGCTAGAGTGACAAAATGTCGCGGTGTAGTTTTCCATTTCTAACACTAATGGAATGGAATTGAAATAGAAAAAATGGAAGGGACTGTTCTCTGTTTAGATTTGAGGTAAGCTACAGTTTTGTCTTTGAGCCCAAGGCGGCGAGATCGAAAAGCTTAGAGGTTTTCAATTCCCAATGCGTTCCAATTCCTGGCAGAAATGTTTTGAAAACATTTGAAAGAGTCATGTCATTAATTGTTGAATATGGAGACTGAACCTATTTGTGGAATACTGGCAACTAGGGATTTTAAGTTATCACCGAACTTTCCGGCATAGGAACAGATCTGACAATATATGTACATCCGTTTTTCTCTCCCACGTATCGACAATATGGTTCGAATTTGCGAATTATTTTTGTTAATTTTCATGGAATATTTGAGTTTTTATTTTAGAAATGGTATCATTTGGGGATTATTATTATTATGATTAGTTGTTTTTTGTTTTTGCTTTTTAATTGTAATGCTTTAGGGGATACGCAAAATATTTGCATTTTACATTATGTTTGCCTTTTGTTAGGATTTGTTTTGCTTTTCTTTCTTATTTTTATTTGCATCTGCACAGCAGAGAGAATAATTTTTGTGATTGTTGTTTTCGATTTCGAATTCGTTTTGATTTCTATAACGTTTTTGTTATATGTATATGTATGTATATATATATATATATATATATATATATATATATATATATATATATAGTTGTATATGTGTATATGGCTGTTTTATGTGCTATGTATATATATTTACTATATATATATATGTGTGTGTGTGTTGAGTGTGGGTCCACAACAATCGGAGTTGTCTGCTTCGACTCGTCATATCAATCTCGAAATATTGTTTATATACGAGTTGATGAGTGTATGTTTGTGTGTGTGTGTTTGTTAGTGTTATGTGTTGTTTAGTGTCGTTTTGTTCTCGTCTGTAATGTACATTGATGGCTTCATGGTTTGCCAAAGCAAATTCCATTCATATACATAGGTATGTGTGTATGTAGAGAGGCATCGTATCGTATCTGTTGGTAGTAGGTATATGTATGTATGTATATATGTATGTACGTATGTATAAAAGAGCATATTTGTTTTTAACGCCTAACAAATTTTAAATGCAGTTATTGACCTGAACATTGTTTTGTTGTTTTCAATATATATAGTATATATCTGTATATATATATATATATATATATATATCTTTTATCTGTTACATGCATGTATTATCGTATCGTATGTATGCGTATATATATACAAGTATATATACTTTCGTGTTATTTTAATTTGTAAAATATTCAAACAAGTAGTATGTTATATTTATCCTTTATTCGTTCTCTTCTTGCCTTTCTCTTGTATTTATGTTTCATTATTATTATTATTTCTTTTCGTTTCTTTGTCAACTTTGCCACAACTTTCGCTATATCTTGTGCATTGTTTTTGTTGTTTCTGTTAAAATGAATTTACTCTCTATATGTATATATTTGAGTGAAATGCTTAAGCATTTCATTGCAGTTACTGTCTCTGTCTTGTGCTTTCGGTTTCTGTTTCTGTTTGCTTCCTTTAGATTTCTGACGTCACAAAAATTTCTCATATGTTTCGCTGTTGTTGTTGTTGTTGCTTGTTTCGCAACGGATTTTTAAATAATAAAAGAATTATGCTAGACAAACAATTTGATGCAATAAATATCGGTGTCGTTAGGCATTCGGCTGATCGCTTATGTTCATAAATAAATAATATATAGCTTACAATTTACTTAACAAGCCCTACTAACTTAGATACAAACATACGTCTTATGAATAAAAAAAAATTATTTAAATCATTTGATTTCATACAATTACATATTTATAACAATAGGCAACAACACAAAGCAAGTTTTGTTAATGGAAACTGCAGCTGCATCCAGCCGACTGACTTAATTGGGGGGAAAAAAGAGAGAGCGCGTATTACAGTTCTCCCAGAGTTTCAGTTCTTCAGTGTTCTCTACAAAAACGTCAAGAGAGGATTGAGAGAGGAGATGTATTGGGAGAGAAAAACTACTAAACTTAGTTTATAACAATCTCTTGAAATAGTTTTCTGTTTGTAAAGATATCGCCAATATATTAGCATTTCAAGATGATTTTTGTATAGAAAACTTTGTAATATGTTCTGGAATATGATCGCCTTTGGGATCAATTCTTTAGCCTCCTGCTTCCCAAAATTAAAGTTCTGATATATTGAAACTCTGATCTAATCGCAAGCGCTACTCCTTTTACTCTGAACATAACAACACAGGAGAGGAACCAAGGCAACGGGCACCCTCTTTGGCGCATTGTGTAAATGTTTGGGTGTACATAGGTGTTGGTGTTGGTATCGGTGTAGGTGTGTGGTGGTGTACATAAGCTTGTCTATGTATATGTGCGTGTTGTGTTTCTCTCTGTTCGTGTGTGTGTGTGTGTGCATTTGCATGAGGCACATATGTGCGAAATCTCGCTGGAGATTTCAACTCACTCCACTTACATAATTGAACAAATTCTGCATACAGTTAACAAGGCCTGTTCTTGTTTCGAATTCGATTAAATTTGATGTCGAAATCGCTTTCCACCAATTTGGTGTGAATTCGTCGAATTCAATTCCACTTTCTAATGTTAGAGAGAAAATTCCTCCATACAAAGGAGCTGAAATTGTTCGAGAAATACGATTTGCACAAATCTGATCGAAATCTTACATTTTTCTTCCTCAACCGATTGGCCAATTGGCAAATATACTTTTAAAACGATTGTGGGCATTGATTGGCAGTGTCGTGGGCGGTCTGGGGTATGGTGGACTTTTCACAAAACATGTTACATTAATATTTCCACTACGCATAACTCACACTACTACGAAAGGAATAAAGAGTGATAGAGACGGAGATAGAGTGAAAAAGAGGGGGATACGCCAATTGTGCATGGGATTTTTGCTTTCGTTCTTGAATTCTGGCTAACTTAATTTCACTTTTCTCTTAACTTTTGGGTAATTGCTAGTAAAATTGTTTAGCATTATATGTTGTTTATCATTTTTGTTGTTTACTGCTGCGTGTGCATTTTCTTATTATTACAAAAATCCGCAACGCTAGCCAGCGTCGCCCTCGCCGTCGTTAACGTAGTCGTCGTTTCGTGATGGTCACTGTGTGCGCCGCCTGCTTTTGCCACCGGCACCACCGGCACCACCGACGCCGCCGCCAACGTCGTGCTGATTGGACAATTTTTATGACGTCTCTAAAAATCATACTTTGAAGGTTTTCTCGCGTCGCTGGTGCTGTTGTTGTTGCTGCTGCTGCTGCTGATGTTGCTGCTGCTGATGGCGCCCATTGGCCAGCACGCTCATGGAACCACCACCGCCACTGCTGCTACAAAGTGCAGCCGCTGTAGCCGCCGCCGCGTCATCGCAAGCTGCATAGCTGGCAATGCGATGATCACTGCGTGAGCGTTCACGGTCGTGACTGCGATGATGATGATCGCCATTACGTTTGCTGCTCGCCGCTTGCTGCTGCGACCGTCGATTGCCCAAACGTTTCAGTTCATAGTCGCGCGCATCGGCTACATCGAAGGTGGCGGCCCGTTGCTGCTGCTGCTGTTTGGAGCCACCAGAGCTGCCGGCGGCATGTCGCTGTTCGCGTGTGGCTGCCACCACTGTTGCCTGAGATTCGTATTGCTGCGGACAGTACTCATCGTATTCGTGATCGTCGCACAGGTTCGCATTGCAGGCTTGTGGCGGTGGCTGCGATTGGGCGCGATGCTTCTTGGGTGGAAGTGGAATGGGCGCCGTGCTCGTCACCGTCTCTCGCTGAGTCTGCTGCTGTGTTGTGTGTGTGTGTGTCTGTGTGCTGGCTGCCGCCGCCGCTGCGTGCAACGCCGTTGATGCTGTGCCACATGTGGTGGCACGTCGCACAACATCAACGCCGCCGCCGCAGCAGGCGCACTCCTACAATTCCGTTACAGAATAGAGATCGTTGTTGACCAGAGCGCCGGCACCAGCCGCTGAGCTGCCACGCTTCAGGGAGCGATAGAAGAGCTGCTGCTGCTGCTCCACAAGTAAGGCCTGTTGCTGGGCCGCGGCTGCTGCTGCAGCTGCCGCCGCCTGTTGTTTGCTGCTGCTGCTGCTGCTGCCACCGCCTGTCGTACCACTGCCATGGTGATAATTGTTGTTGTGCTGGCGCTGCTGCTGGAGCTGTTGCTGTTGATAGAAGGCCGCCTGTTGCTGTTGTTGTTGTTGCTGCTGCTGCTGTTGGTGGTAGGTACTGCTGTCATAGGAGTGCTGCTTCTTCATGCTCAGCACTGGCTGACCACCGCCATATTGCTGCTGCTCTGCGTAGCTGCGCGCATTATCGAGCGTTTCAGCACGACGTGGCCGTTCGCTGCGCTCGCCGCGTTCCCGTTCCCGTTCACGCTCGCGCTCTCGTTCGTAGCCAAAGCTGGCAGATTGCTGTTGGCGCAGGCTGGCAGACTTGGGTGGCAGCGTCTGCATGTGATTGGCATTGCTGGCATCGCGCGATGACTTGTGACGATTCTTGGGCGGCAGCGTTGGCGGTTGTTGTTGCTGCTGCTGTTGTTGTTGTTGCTGCTGCTGCTGTTGGGCAAGCTGCAATTTCTGCGTCTGCGGACGCTGTAGCGAACGATACTGACTTAGATTGGCTGCGCAGAGCGGCTGCAATGAGATCTTTGACTGAGGCGCGGGTGTTGTGGGCGATTGCACGGGGATATCGGGCAGCGGCTGATTGACAATCGAGGCCGGATTCAGCGAACGCTGCACACGGGGCGCTGCCGTTGGCGCTGGTTGTTGTTGTTGCTGCTGCTGCTGCTGTTGTTGCGGATAAACGCCGCTGCTCTCAATGCTGTAGACGGCCGAGGGTGGCAATATGTGTGTGGTCGGTGGATGGTGTTGCTGTTGTTGTTGCTGCTGCTGCAACGCGATTAACTGTTGCTGCTGCTGTTGTTGTAAGGCGAGCAACTGTTGCTGTTGTTGTTGCTGCTGCAACGCCAATTGCTGATGCTCCTTCGCATAGGAGCTGCCCACGCCGGTGGTGCCTGGAATTTCGGTAAACGTATTGACTATCTTTGGCTTGGGTGGTGGCGGTGGCGCGGGCTGTGCTTGCACCACATGTTGCTGCTGTAGCTGCAGCTGTTGCTGTGGCGGTGGCGGCAGCGGAACTGCCTGTTGTTGCTGCTGTGACGGCGGTGGCGGCGGTTGGGCAACGGTGGTGCTGCCTGCAGCCACCAGCATGTCCGTGGAGGTGGCTGCATACACCTGCGGTATGCAATCCGGCTGCTGGCAATAATCCTTGGACACTGTGGCTATCGAAGGCGTTTTGGCACTGCGCAAGTTAGGCGATGGCGAGGCACCCTTGAGGGAACCACCGTAACGACCGACATGACGCAGGGTGGCACACTTGTTGGCTGTGGCGGCGGCCACAATGTTTAGATTATTATTACCGCGCACCGCCTTCGGCCCGATGCTGATGTATTTGGGATCGAACCGATTGAAGCTGTTGTTGGTGACGTCGCGCGGATCTCGATCATCGCTCAGATCGCCGTCCAGCCCGTTGCCGGTGGACTTGCACATGGCATTGGCCGTCTGGGCAGACAGCACCGAGCGTATGGACGAGCCTGTCGATCTAGGCAGTGTTGCCGAGGCGAATATGTTCTTCAGTGTGTTGCTGTTGGTGGTGCTGTTCAGGATGTTGCTGCTGCTGCCGTGCACGTTGGGGTTGGCGCCAACGTTGGCAGCGATGCCGCTGCTTTGCTGCTGCTGTGTGTTGTTGCTATTGCCTGCATATGTGCTGCAGGCAAGCGAATCTCAGTAGAAGTCGTTCGACTCGAGCGTCTTACACTGCTTGCTCAGTGTCGCGTATTTGCCGTTGTTCGGTCCCGGCAAGTACGATGACGCTTGCTGGTGGTGCGAGGGCAGCCGACCGAGCGTATGATGACCGGACCTGCCAAGCGAAACGAAAGTCAAAATTACACATTAGTACGGCTTCCAGGGTAAATGCTATCTTCTTCTTGCTGTTCTTGTTCTAGTTGCTGTTTTAGTAGTTAACGTGTGTGCGAGTGTGTGTGCGTGGGGGTGTGAGTAATTCAATTTGGATTAGGGGGTGTTTGCGCTCTGCCGATATACAAGAATGTATGTACACTATTGGATTATGGAAATGGACATGAAACAAGATATTCGATGAGCTGCGCTGCGCTGCTCTGCTCTGCAATATTCCCCCAAACTTCGTCAATCGATTAAGCGATTCAAACAATACAATGATTCAGAATGTTGAGCAAATGCTTGGATCGTAGAGAACTTTTAGAGCATATACAAGTAGTACTACCTATTGTCCAAAGCTGCTAAATTATTCAGAATTTTGGGTAGAAATTCAATAGTTCTCCCACTTTCTACTAAGCATTTATTGTGCAATTGGAATGAGATAAAACTAAAATTTTCCCTCCTCTCTCTTTTTATTATTCATCCACTAGTACAATAATAATATTTTATGATTTCTAATTTGTAATAATACAATGTTATTTTAAAAAGATTTCTAGCTTTATCCTTAGCCCTTCAATTCATGATAACTAATAAAGAGAATTCTTGGAATTATTTTGAATTTCGAAATAACAGTTGACCCATCGGTTTGAAAAGGACTGGATTCCTTTAAACTCCCGTCTAATTACAAGTAATAGCAGCCAAATGCATGAATAATGGAAATAAGGTTTCAAATGCAAATTGTATATCCCTCGTAACAATTAGAATAATTTCCATTGATCGTAGAAGGACGCAATCCATTTCTAAGCTGTCACATTCTAAATGAATGGTAGTTTGTGAATATTATTTTGAATACAAAGTGAACACCCCTCGCGACATGTTGATAATATTTTGAGTGCGATTTGCGCTGAAGGCTGAACTCTAGGCCTCTACATTGTTACTTAAAGTAAAGCTCTTTATAGCATGCATTACGACAGGTGACGGGTGAGAGATGTGAATGGACACGTGCTGGGCAGAGGGCACAATGAATCGAAAATAATAATCAAATTACAAAAACACAATACTAATATTAAGCTTATTTACGTCAATCGAAAAAAAAGAATAATACAATTACGGAGTAGACGACTTAACTAAATAACTAACTAACCGCTTAAATCATAGACTAAACTAAACTAAGTGAACTAAAATGTAAATTAATTAATGAGGCAACAGAAAATGAAAAAGAAATTAAACTTCATGCCTTGTGCCATGCACCATATCATAGCCGGGCGGCGGTGACGGGGAGCGCCGGCCGCTGACGCGACCCAACAACAGGCCACCGGCCGCCGACGTGTTTGCTGTATTAGTTCTATGCTGTGTGTTGTGGTTGTAGTGGTGGTTGTTGTTGTGGTAAGTTGTAGTAGATGATGTATTGGTTGATTGTGATGATGGTGATGCCAACCCTTGTCTCATGCCCGCTGTCCCATTCCGATAGGGCCCGCCGCTCCCGAGAGCGCCACCTCCACTAAGGGTGCCTCCGCCGCTGCCACCACCCAGCGGCCCACCGTGCGCCTGCTGATGATGCAACAGGGTTCGATTTATGGTGCCTGTGTTGATGGGGGCCGTAGGTGAGATGCTTGCGCTCGGCGCATTCGAGGCGGGAAATAGAGGCGCTGTTTCCGATTTATCGGCATCCACTGTCGGCCTATAAAGCAGATAGCGAGGGAGAGAGGGAGCAGTTTAAAAATAGTGCCGAATTGGCTAATGGCATATAGTGCTTTTGTTTTAACACGCACCGTTTGGTCAAATATATCCACGCATGCGAGTCCGCATAGACGAGTATAGTGAGCAAAAATGAAGTTAACAGCCCCGCCACCATCATAAGACTGAGGCCGAGCAGGCCCCCGCCACATAAGCCGCGCAGGGCATCTGCATAGTGTCGATCGATCGCACGTCTGTCCAGGGTGGCGGAGAGGACAGTCAGATTACGCTTCGTCTCCTCCAGATCATTGTTCATTGCCTCCAATGTGCGATGCACGTCAATCCGTGGATACGTGTCCTGAGTCATGCTGAAAACAAAATAAAACAATCTGATTAGCTTCAGAATAAAAAGGGAATTATAAGCCTCCCAAATCTAGAGGATTTCTTCTTGTTACTTCAGAATGAAGAATAAGGGGACTTAAGGGTAACTAGAGCCAAAATATTCAATAGAAAAATGATTGTTTCATCGAAATTCTGAAACTTCAGACTGTAGATGTGAAGTTTTAGCTTAGAACTCACCGTTGTAGAAGAAAGACGCTTTCCCGTGCGCGTTCCACAAGATCCCGGGATTCGTTGAGGCGCAGAATGAAACGATTTCTCAATGTGCCGCAATTCAGGAAGTAGACATATGGACTACGCTGTAGGGGTCCAGAGAAAAAACGTGTACGGGTTTAATAAAATCATGGAATACGGCTAGAGTTGATTTATGGCGTACTTACCATTCCCACCTGCCTACACATATACTCGTGCGGACGCATACAGAAGTCGCCAGCGGCCACGCTGAATGCCAAATAAATGCCCGCCAGCAGCCAGCAGATAATGATGCAGAATAGTCCCGATACGCTAAAGAATATCAGCGTGCAGCGCGACCGGCGAGCCACTCCAATAACCAGCACCGTGCAGAGTATCAGCAGTACGGTGAGAAATCCGAGCGTAACCGGCCAGCGTATGGACTCGTAAAATTCCCCCAACTATAACATGAATGGCATTTAGAATAGAAAATATTTGCATATCGATTCCGATTCCGATATCGGTTTCGATTTCAAGCAACTTACGTGCAAGAGACCCATCAGGGATGTGTCACTCTCACTGCCCTTGGTCTTCATGAAGTACACCACCATGTTGTCCAGCGATGTGACGGCGCGTGAGGTATTCTCCCGCACCAAAGCACACGTCTCCGTGATCAGCAGGACCGCCGTTTGATTGTATTGCGGCTTGTCCACCTGCTTCTCCAGATTATGTGAGGCCATTTTCGTTTCGAGATCATGTTTTATGGATTCAGTCTACAAAAACCAAATGAAATAACAATCATACTTGTATATCAAAAGGGAATAAAAGTTTCCAGACCTAATTGAATTTATATAGCATTAGAAAGAGAAAATATTAGAAAGATGGTCCGAAATAAAATCAATGTGCTAATCGAAATACCAGCTCAAGAAAATCAATAAATCAGGAACCGGAATATGGCGTTATTTTGTTTTTAAATTGAAATTGAAATGAGGACATCAGAACATACTCTAAAAGAAAGGAAACAGACATAAGCACAATAGACATTTCTCTGTTTAACAAAGCTCCATAAATTTGCAATCATTTAGGGAGATATCTGAGCGAATTCTTACTGCTAATGCCATTGATTCTATCGTCAATAGTTTTGGTTTGTAATTACAAATTATTAGGAGCTGTGAGTAGATTTTAGCTTTTAAGTAAGTTATAGTTTCTGTACAATGTTTAGTTTAATGTTGGTTGATTTTCAAATATTTCATACAAAACGGAGAAAGTTAGTAAATCGCCAATTTATTTCAAAGCACCGTTAGTTCTGTAAACTTTTGGGAAATTTATGAATTGAAAATGGATGTAGTTCCCATTTCTAATTTCAGAAACAAGTGTACATGTTTTGATTATTAGAAATTATGTTAAAAGTGCAATTTAGAATGTACTTGTAAATCCTCCTTTGAGTCTGTAGGCTCACACAATTTATTATTGTTTATTTAAAGAACCTGTGATCGATACACTTATAAATGGTTTTGTATATTTTACAAGTAATATATTCGATGAAGTCGAAAAAGTTGATAATCTTGCAAGAGTGTGTGGAATATTTAATATTTATTATTGTTGGACCAAATGGGTTTCCCCTTTGAGGCAAGCTGCGGCGGGACGTTTCACAGCAGGCCACGAAAACTACGTTTGCGTTGGTGTCTCTGTGTTTGTGTGTGTGTGTGCGTGTGTACCACAAACCAGAAGTCAGTCATTATAATCAAGCTAAAAGCTGCCTGCCGTGTTGACAGTTGCGGTGCCGAGTGGACACGGTATTCTTGCCAAGCCGCTATTCATAACCTTTACTGGCTTGGCTCAAAGGCACAGCACACACGCAGTCCCATCCATCCCACTAAGCGAAAGGCTAAAAGAGAGAGCCACTATTCGTATACATACATATATACATATGTATGTAGCTTGGTAGGAGAAGTCCGTCAGCATCAAAGGCGGTGGGCAGCAAGCCACACGCAGCAGCCAGAGCAGTAGATATTGGAGGCTTGCAGATGCTTTTAGGGGCGGGAAATAGGCGAAACAGATGGCTGGCATTGCTTGGCGCCTAAGTAAAACGCTATTAATTATCTGGGCACATGCTCGCAAGCAACAACTACACGCACACACGCGCAACTAGGGACTCTATAAACACACAAATACACTCAGCGATTTTTTCATCTGTCTGATGTTGCCTGCTTTTAGGCGCACACAACGCTTCCCATGTGTGTGCGTGTATACTCGTATGTGAATGTTTGTTTGTTTGTGTGTGTGTGTGTGTGTGCGTGTGTGTACTTTAAGCTTCATACAAGTGCGGAAGCAAAACAGCAAGCAAAAACATTACGCTAAAAACTACTTTTTAGGTACGCTGTCGTTTTTGGCTTTTGTTCCCCTTTGTTAGTCAGTCTGTCTCTCTGTCTCTCTCTCTCTCTCTCTCTCTCTCTCTCTCTCTCTCTGTCTGTCTGTCTGTCTATCGGTCTGTTTGTCTGCCTATATTAGTGTCTGTGGCTGTGTGTGTTTGTGTGTCGTGCGTGGGCTTCTCCCTTTACCTATTTTGGTCATTAACTTTTGAACTTTTCTCACCTGCTGTGAGGCAGGGTGTGTGTATCTCTCTCCCACTGTGTTTGTGTGTGTGTGTGGTCTGTGTGTGTTGTGTGTGTGTGTGTGTGTGTGTGTGTGTGTGTCTGTAGGTTGGTGTTGTGTGAGACCAATCGCCTCGCTGGCAGTCTACAATTTATGACCAACTCCTTAACTTGCACTTCGAGTGAAAAACCATAGACATTCTCAGCAGCTTATAATACTTTTGCATCTACTCGCACACATACATACATACATATGCACTCCAATGTATGTACATATGTATGTATGGATGGATGGATGGATGGATGCACGTACCAGAGTTCTTATGCTTGCTGAAGCATTACAGCAATTGGTCATGGAGATCCAACTTGAAAGCAAAGTTGGTTGTGGTCTAGTTAGCAAAATTAAAGTGCACATTTCTTATCAATCAGCATACGAGTACATACAAGTAGAACTTAGATGTTTACAATATAGCCCTAGAGATATCGGCATTTAAAGTGGAAGCAATAGCTTCCTAACCGATCAAAAGATGGACAATCATGTTTCCTTGTCAAGTTGTGCTGCCGATTATGCCGATTATAGCTAAAGAAATTGAAAATGAGTTTCTATAGCTTGAGCTTGAGACAGTTTGGCAATCCTTGAAGCAATACAAATGTGGATACGTATTTACAAGCTGCGCTTTAAAGTCCCGTTGCGTGAAGGAGTCGTTTTCTTTGAAACAACACAAGTAAAATATATACTATATATATATATATTTATATTTGTTGGTTGGTTTGGTTGGTTTTTAGTAGAAATCACGATATTTAAAAGATCGTTTTTCGAAGCTCTCTTGGTCAATAAACGCATCAGTTTCGGCTTACCTGTCTTTTTAAACTGAGAACTAAGCCCTCCACCTGCTTGCCAGAACTGAATGCCTGCAACAGACCGTTGTGGAAATCATCGTTGCCGTATAAGCCTGAAAGAAAAGAGTTCCAAATAATGTTAAAGTGTTTCAAACTTCTTCGTCTATAGTAAGTATTTTATCACCTAAAATAGAATAAGTAGTTTAAAAGTAATCATTAATATTAATTCATTAAAAGTGTTGGTAGTTATCTGACAAATTGGCTAATTAATTATTCAAAAAATCTTAAGCATGAGTATTTTCTCTTATTATTTACTTTAAAAAGTTATACAAAAACATTTTGTTTTCAAATCTGGTTTAACTCGTAATTGCTTACTTAAATAAATAATATTTTATGAATTGCATTTTTGAATAATCCCTGCCATTAACTCGTTTAAATGAATATTATTTTTATAAAACAACTTCATCGCCACTCGAACACTATTATTTAAAAGTATAAAGGAACTAAATGGGATTAAGTGGTCGCCTGATAAAAATATAAATATAAACATGATATACAAATAAAAAGAGCTATACGGTATTTTCGTCTGTGCCGAAGCTATATACCCTTCACCTTCAATACTTTATTGCTTCATGGTCAGCGGTCGCGGACTCTATTTCCTCTATTCCGTACTATAATATTTTTCATCGGAGATCAATTTTTTTTTTGTTTGCCTATTTGGCATTTGGTCATCCATGGTCACAACTTGCGACCCACGAGTGATGTAAAAATATCAGATGGAACTGACTCAAACATTCTTAATATGCAATTTGGGTTTTATATCTTTAAAACTACAAAAGCTGGCATAAGCAATATATATGTACGTGAAAAAGGAGCAAAAACGAGACTTTGATGAGACGATAGCTTTAAAGCTGTAGAAGTGGTGATTGAAAGATGGATAGGACATGCTCTACCCAAGTTCTTCCTTCTGTGTGTTACAAGCCTGCACACCAACAACAATATACTCTTTCAGTTTTCAATGAAGGGTGTAAATATTTGTAAATTATGAACACATTTCTGCAACAAATCGTTTTCAGATACACTATTAATACTTTTTGTTGCCATCTTAATATCCTCACTCTTCTATTGTGGTCTTCTTGTGTGGGCGTCGATCTAGAATCTAGATGATGGATTAGCTTTTTGAATGTCCACCGAAGTTACAGCCATGGCAAGTAGTGGTAATTGCTTTATGCAGAGAAACTTAATTTATTTTAATAAAAGTAACATCATGGAATTAGTTATGAAATTTCCAAAATTGTTGAGCAATTTTTGCCCGATTGCGTAAGCAGAACTAAGGACTGGAATTGCCCAATGTTCTCGATCTTAAAGCATTTGCAGTCCGAGAAATGTTGTCGTTTGTCGGCGGACAAGAAGTCAAAGAGAGAAGATATATATCTATAGGTCAGTAGTAAGCAGTAGAGACACACTTTGCCTACCGAACGACACATATTTGAAGCAATTAAAAAAGTTAATTAAATTATTTGTTTGTGTAACGAGTTGGCCTCGAGCAACGGATAATGGGCAATGGACAATGGACAAAGGACGGACGCACAGGCGGCAGAGGGGCATTTCATAATTATGACAACGATGATGGCTTTATTACGCTGTCCGGCAGTATGTCTACCTCCACCTTTGAGGCAAAAACAGACAGCGGCGGCGGCAGAAGATACGGCGACGGCGGCTTTCGGCATAGTTTAAGTGAATTAATTACACATGTACGAGTTTTATTTTTTTTTTTTTCTTTCACACTTGACACTTGACTCTTGAGCACTCAGTCGATTCACTGGCTATGGCAGCCCATAAATCTACGTGCCACACACGTAACTGAGCAATCCGATGGCGATGGCGATGTTGATGACTATAGCTACTACGGCTATGGCAGCAACGTCACTAGCCAGCCGATAAGCTGCGTTTTGGCTAATTGCCAAGCTCTATAGACGCGACATGCAATCGCAACGGACGTGCCAATACGTATGTATATGTATATATAGTAGTAGACTTATGTACGAGTATGTGCATACATAGCATGTGGATATTTTAATGGGCGTTATACGAAGGGTTCAATGAACGCGACGCGACGCGACACGACACACTCACTTACCTAGACCGATGGCCGCACAGGTCATTAACGTTATGATGACCAGAGAGCAGCTCTGGCAGCGCTGGGCGCTCGGCTTACGCTGTTTTCGATCGCAGCATCGGGTCAACAGATATAGTAGCAGGCCGAAAAGTGAGAGTATCAGCAGGCCGGCTGGTATGGAGGCGAGTATACCCAAGCTCTGTAATGGATAAGAAGAATAGACAGCGTTAATAAACAATTATGTTCTCCATAAAGAATATCCGATGCTCCTTAATGAACATTGGAAACAGATTAACAGATCAATCTAACACGCGGGCGTTGAAAAACTTCTTGTCAGACTGATATACAAATATGTACTATATCTATGTATATCTAGGCCTAATTTTGTTTGATGTATTCAATATAACGTTTACATTATTTCTATTATTCTGCGTTTGTCATAAACAAAATTTATCCCTGTCTTATTTGGAACAACGCCCATTTCAGATGTTAGTTATGGGAAAAAATTGATTTGAAGACTTTCCCATTCGTTAACTGGGTGGCAGGGCAGTACAGTGCAGCCAGATGTTTGCCTATAATGCCAATAATGTTCATGCAAATTACCAGATGTTCGCATGGCTAAAAAAAGCTCCCATCAGAGTTGTGGAAAGCGTAGAAAAATAGACCAGCAGAGCATTGCAAAATTAAAAGATTTATTGCACCCCATAGAAGACTAGGTTAGGATTCAAAAATTGCCGTTTAAAAAGAGAATGTTTTGAGAAACGTGTTCCATTAGGGAAAATGTGATCTGAAACGGATATGAAATAGATGCCAAATACAAGTATGCATCAGAGTTAGTGATACTATAAATGGATATTCCCCTCTAAGTGATTGGGTGCTGTAAAAAAGTGTTTTACTACTGCGGGACCATCGAAGATGGCAAATGTGGAAATTTGTGTTTCCCAGCGGCAAAGCCATTAAATCGCTGTAAGTGTATGGCAAAATGTACCTATTTTATGCTAAAGAATTCGTAAAACAGGGAGTACAGGAGTACATTGCTAAGGTATGTTGTGCTTTTGCAACAACATTAACAGCAGCTGCTGGCAGAGTCCATGAAGCTGACACTTAACTAGATGGTTTCAAAATAAAAATAATAAAATGCGATCAAATTAAATTTTGTCATAAGCCACTTGAGGTGTGTTTAAATGTTGCTTAATTAGTCAGAAAGTTTAATTTAATCTTTTGTTGGTTAGTTCGGGTACAACAGTTGACAGTAGATGTTTTCTTCATATATATATTGCATATATCCTGCAAAATCGTGAATTATTACAACTAGCACAACTAACAAATTACGATAGCTCGTATTCAAGGATCAAAGTTCACCCATATAATTATCCTTCTAAATATTTAAACAGCTATTAAGTAATTAAATTTTTCAAGTATATCTTTTTTGTGTCTCGATTGAAGGATCGCTTTTTTTTGCAACGTATAAAATAAAGTTTTCCCTGGGCATGGAAAATCTGCGACAACGGCTGCAGCTTAAAGTTTTTGCATTCAGCTCTTTATCTCCCTCTTTCTGCTTTTCTTTCTTTTCGCTCTTAAATCTCTATGATGTTACACCCAATCGACCATTGTTGGCAGTCTTGGCAGGCGAAGCATAAACATTGCTCTTCCTGCCGCATATAAAAATATAAACAAAATCCGTTGGGTCTGGTCCGAAAGTTGTCGGGCACGAAGCATTGACTAAACTTTTAATTGAATAACTCGCAACTCGTTTGCTGCTGTTTGAATTGCAGTTGCTTTTGTTGTTATTGTTGTTGTCGATGGTGTTTGTTGTAATGTTGCTGTTAGTTGGCTGCCAAAAAACCCCAACAAAATGTGTAAAAATACGTCTGCAAAGTTAATTTTTTGTCGCTACGGCTGCTCGGCTGCTCCTCTTCCGCTTCTTCTTCTTCTTGTCGTTATTATTATTGTTGTTGTTGTTGCTGAGGTGCTGATGGTGGGCCAAATTGTAATTGAATTGGCAACACCGTGCGCTCCGTTTTGGACAGAGTTGCCAAGGCAACTTTAAAAATGGCCGCCGCCTGCAGTCGGAATTGAAGTGGAAGTTGAAGTTTGGTGTCGATGTCGTCAGCGTTCACGTCTTTTGTTGTTGTTGTTCTTGCTGGCGTTGCAGCTACCGGTGCGGAAGGCATTAAAAAAATCCATTGACTTAGCGGAAATATCATTTATAGTCATTAAAAAGTCTGTTAAATACAGAGGCGTAGGCCGGCGGGCTGGAATCTAAGCAGTTCCTTCAAACATAAAGTATCTAATCAAGCATAGCACATGTATTAAGACTTGAACTGTAGAAGAAGAAAAGCTTTACAATAAATACTTACATTAGTATAGTATTTATGTACTTTGCTATATACCAAATAATTTAAATACGCTTATGATATATGTATGTATATTTATTATTTTCTAATATGTTCATTCACTTTTTTAGGCGGTCTGTACACTATTTTGGTGACCTCAGCTCACATACTCATCGAGATGTTTGCGTTCATACAGACAGACATGCTTCTATCAAAATTATATATCAGTATAGAAATTTATTTATAGTCCCCTCTAAAGGTAAGGCTTGTGTAAGCCTCTGTCGAAATATTTACATTCAGCTGGGTGTCTGTGTGCGTGCGTGTGCGATGACTGAGCTTCGCTGCTCAGCTCAGGTTTCAAATCAAGCAACCCCCTAAATAAAACGTGACTAAAATGCACTACATAGTATGTGTGCATATATGTACATACATACATATGTAAGTAAATGTACATATGTGTGTATTTATATGTGTTGTTGGGTGGTTCGGGCGATCCGAGTGGCTAACCAACGATCAAATAATGAGTCAGACCATCACTTTAAGCCACTTGGCTGGCTGGTTGCTAGCCCCTAAAAACACTTGAATCACTTGCGTTGCACTGCCTTGCCTTGCCTTGCCTTGCTTGTCAATCAAGTTCAATCAAAATAGACAAAGTACTGAGTGTGTGCCTGCATCTTGAAAATGCAACAGTTAGGCCAACCAGCCAGCCAGTCAGCTAGCTAGCCAGTCAGTCAGCTGCAGATGAAAGCTGAGGGCGCGAAGTGGCCTCCATGGGGTGCCACTTAGGTGTGTGTATGTATATGTGTATGTGGGCGTGGGTGTGTGCGTGTGTGTGGCAGCTAATGTGCCGTTGCATTTAACAGAGTCGTTGTTGCCGTCGCTATCACCATCGTCTCAACGTCTTTGACTTCGCCTGCGTGACATTTATTATTTATGTTTCAGTTGCCTTTGTGTACGTGCCCCATGTAAATAATCATTAAAACTACCAGTAGTAGTAGTTGTTGTTGTTGTAGTTATTGTAGTTGTTGTTAGTGTCGCCTCGCATGCCCACCCATTTTAATTCAGGTTTTACAACAATTTGCATGTCCTCGCAGCAGTTGAACGACACTTGAGCCTAGGAAAATGTGCAAGACTAGTAGCGTGCAAAATTGCGGCGTTATTTCTTCTCTTTACTTTTTTTTGGTGTTTATGTTGTTGCTGTTGTTGTTATTGTTGTTTTTGCCATTGTTGGACCGAGTTGCAAGGCTTGTGACGAACTGGACTCTTGGGCTTCATCGTCCGACCCTAGCAATCAATCGAAAAGAACAGCATTTGAGAAGTTTAATTCGATTGCATCGACGCTATATTTCCTTTTTTTTGTCCATTCGATTTGATTGCATCGACGCTATATTTCCTTTTTTTGTCCATTTGATGTTTTCCGCATGGCCATTGAACATATTTGCTCACACTCTTGACACTCAGTAAGTTTAGAATTCGAAAATTTGAAAACGCAATGGAGTTCGTTTTTCTTTTTTTTCATACAAAAGTTCTTTTGAAAACATATACTTATGCATGTATAGGTGGTGATTTATTATATTGTTTATCATAATTCCTCATACAACGAATTATGCAAATTTTACAAATTTAAGAAAGTTCTTGCCATCTTTGGACATTTCTACAAGACGTTGTAATTTCAATTTGAAAATTGAAAAAGGTCTCTAAAAGAACCTAACAACTAAAGCTTTTAAGGTATGGAAATTGGAATTGGAAATTGGAATTGGAATTGGAAATTGGAAATTGAACCCAGCATACTATTTAATTTTAACATCATTCATGCACCTATAATTATAACATTTGACCTTTCATAGGGTATAGGGTATACAGTACTGGGTATACAATACAGAGCTCTATCGTTGCGCTATCCAAGTATTCTTAAAAATTGTACTTCAAACAGTAGTCTACAACCCAGTTAGTTTCTTTTATAATTATTGATTGCAAGCTTTAAAGATATGGAAATTGGATTGAAAATTGAACCCAGCAGAGATATGTATATCGCGACATACTTACTATTATAATTATAATTATACCATACTGCGCTTATCATTTATGCACCTATAATTATAACATTTAACCTTTCACTTAAAGTATAGGGTATACAGTACTGGGTATACAAGTAGAATACACAGCGGGCCACAAACCCTTTAGTAATTGTACGGCTCCGACGATACTCGTGAAATGGCAAATTACGCGCTGGCCGATTGTTAAATTGAATTAAATCAAAGCACAAATTGCCATAAACAACCTTGGAGCTGAGTTCTTCACAGGCCCGCACACACGCTCCCATTACCATTATTCAGATCGTACATATAAATATATATATATATATATATATATATATATATAAATATATATATACATACACATATGTAGGTTGGTTTGTCTGTTTGTTTGCCTGATTGTTTGTTTTTTATGCTCGTGTGTTTACCCTTGCGAAGCATCAAATTGGAAATTGACTAATGAAATGTGTGAAATTTGGCATAATATCATATCAGACAACTACTCTGTATGGTGCAGACATATACATACTCCACATATCCATATACACAGTATTTAAGTACATATATACATACATATATGCATATAAATATGTATGTATATATTTACATATGAGCATGGGTGGGAGTAGAGTCGATTGAATTTGATTTGATTCCGTTCACAACCAATACAAGAGCTGCTTTTTCAATGCAACTGTGTACTTCAACTATTTCCCACATTTCTGTTCATAGTTTATTATAAATTGTTTACCAGAGAGCCTTTAACATATATACATATACTTGTAATTAGATTATATAAAGCGATCAAAGTTTATGCCTTCCATATCATT